CATATATCTTTTATCTCTGTAGAGAGTGTATACCTTACGTATCAGTAAATGATGGAGACTGACAGTAGAAAGAGATATAAAACAAGAGTAAATGGCATCCTTCTGGTAAATTTCTCAAGAAACACTTGAAATGTTAGACGCAAAACAGCAGCAGAGTATTAGTGCTTCGGATAGATTTCTAATGAAAGAGGCATATGTCACCTACAATGATAGTAGACATTAGGTAACGAAAGCTATAAATGAAATTTCTCAAGAAAGAGGTTAAAGATTTTATATTCCTAAGTAGAACATTGTAAAAGAACAGAAAATATGTTGCTAGAAAGCGGAATCATCTAAGCATTGCAGGCAAGTCAAGGACAGACTGACAATGAATAAAGACAGAGAAAGCTTAAAGGATTATGCAAAGCCTAAAGACAAGGAAGCTAGAAGAAAGTTCGAGCTGTCCCTAAGTAAAAGGCATATAATATTTTGATAAGAGTAAGACAAGAAAAGTCCTTAAAAGTGGAGTATGCGCCCAAATTCATCAAATGTTAAGCCCAACTCATTAAAGCTCATTAAACTCTAAAGCATTTGCTGCACCCACTGCATGTGGCTGTGGCATGTGGTTTAAGAGCTTGTCTCTTTAATTTAATGCGGAGCATCAGCATCAGCGATGCAAACGACAAAGCAAATGGCAGAAATTCTAAAAAAAAAAAAATGAGAGAGAAGCAAAAACTAATTGCTGCTTTTAGGCGTTAATGAAAATTACAAATTGCGCATACGCCGCATAGTGCAGGCGCGCCATATGAATGCATGTATGAGAGTGCATGTGTGTGAGTGTCTGATTGTTTGTGTGTGTATGCATGCTGTGGTTAGAGCCACGGATCGATGGTGCATTGTCATTGCATGTGGTTGCATAATCGCTGCTCTACATTTCGCGCATGAGTGCAGCAGCAGCAACAACAGCAACAACAACAACAACAACAACGATCTCAACAACAAGCAAACCCATTAGAAGTTGCAACATTTTCACACACATAGAGAGAGATTGCAGTCAGACAGCGCGCGGCAGGCGGCCGTGGGCGTTGGCGTGGGCGTGCCCCTTCTAACGGCAGTTTTTGTGTTGAGTCATTTTTGCGCTCAAAAGCACTCAGCAAAACAAATAAACACTTTGCGCATTGTTTCGTTTTGACAAATGCGTGTAATTTACGGAAATGTTTGTTTGGGCAGCACAACCCAGCCCGCTCGCTGTCCCCCCTACCCCGCCGCTGTCTGTCTGCCCGTGTCTCGTTTGAATTGTCTTAAGCGTGTTTGCACGGCACTCACATGTCGCTCGCTGAAGCTGGAGCTGCCGCCGTTGCCACCGTTGCTGTTGCTGTTGTTGTTGTTGTTGCTGCTGCAACTGCAATTAGTTGGCGCTCTAAAAGCCATGAAGTGAGCGCTGACTGTGCACATATCGTGCCACATTCGCCCACTAATGACTGCCTCTGGCAGTTGCACTGCTCGCCCCCTCGCTCTCTCTCTCTCTCTCTCTCTCTCTCTCTCCCTATCCCCACTTTTCTTTGCAAATTACAAAGGCGCTACAAAAAATGGTTTTATGTGTTGGCAGCTGCTCATCAAAGTGGCAATAAAATATGCGCTCGAATGGCGAATCGCGAATAGTTCATTACAAGTGCACAAGCAGCCACGCCCATGCACCGCCCTTCGCCCACACTCTGTCTGTCTCTCCCTCTCTCTCTCTCTCTCTCTCCCTTTCTCTCTTTGCGATTGGCAACCACAATTTGTTGCAATTGGCCGACAGATGAAGCGCGCCGCCTTTTGTTTCGCCCATCTCGAAAAGGGTTCGCTTTGGCCCGCTTTGTTGCGGTCTTAATGAGCAAATTTCTGAGTCCTGCTGGCCCACTTGAGCTGTTGGCTCTTACGCAGCGTCCCTTTGTGAGCCAATCTGCTGTTGCTGTTGCTTGTTGTGCTCTTATTGTTTTGTGCCTGCTCGCTTCTCGCTCGCCTCCTCTGCTCCCTTTCCTTTTGTTGCCTTTCCAGTTGGGTTCGGCCATTTATGATACCTTTGTGGTTTCAATATCGTAGAGCAACATAATTAAAAATTGTGACAGCCATAAATTTTTGCTCTTCTCCGGCTCCCAGAGGACCCAGATAGCCAGCGCCAGGGCGCTCACAATGACAAATCAGCTGAAAAAATCGTTTGCCCAGCACAATCTGAAGTGTGGCTGGGACGGGCTGGCAGGCTGCGGTTTGGGCACAAGGAAATCAATTAGGCCACATTATATGCAATTGAAGTTGAACCTGGAGCAAAGCAAAGAAAGAAAAATCAACTGGCAGAGCATGGCCAGAGTGCTTAAAGCTCAAATGGAACATTTGATGGCGCTCATTGTGTTGGCACTGCGGCTGGCTGTCAGACACATGGCCGGCCGCTGATTGCTTAGACGTTGACGTTGACGTTGACGCCCACATCAGGTCCGGGCGCTCGCTTTTCACAGCTGCCATATAGTTGGCCCTGACAGGCCAAGGAGCGGGCGCTTGCGCTGGCTGCGGGTAACAGTTGCCTTTGCCTTTGCCCATGTGTCTATGGGCAGAGTCTATGGCGACAGCAGGGCCAGACCCCCGCCAGTGTTGTAAAGTGTCAAAACCTGTACTTGTCGCTGGCAGGCAGGCAGCAGTAGCAGCAGCAGCAGCGGCAGGTCCTTTAATTTGAATTTTATGCACTGCATGCATAAATTTATGGCACAGGACACGCCCGCCAAAACGTCGACAATGACAAAGGCAACATGATAGTCACATGTCCATTACGTACCACACACCCACACACACACACACACAGGCAAAGAGAGAGAGCTAAAGATGCTGGTAGTTTATCTAGTTAAGCGACTCTTTAATAGTTGCTCAACTTTTGCTTTTGTCTCTTGGTTTATCGGAGCTTTGTCATCTGCATTTATTTTAATGAAATGCCCGCTTCAAATTAATTGCTGCAAATTAATGTTTAATTGCCGAGCAGTGCGCCTGAAACGTTTAAAAATGCATTTGCCATCGCCTTATGCAATTGTTGTTCGAGCCGCTTGCGTGCATTGCCATCGAATTCCTGCTACACACTATGGACACATGACAAACTTAATATCCTGCTGTCAGGCAGGAGCTGGCACTCATGCCAATTCTCTGTCATGCCTGTCAGTTCAACTGCTATCTCTCTCCCACGCTCTCCCACTCTCTCTCTCTCTCTGGAAAAAAACATGTCGAAAATAGCATTTGCAACGTGCATCAAAAAGTCAGGCGACAGGCAACAAAAGTGCACGCGCCTCATTGCATTATAAATGCCGCAATTGCCAAGAGTGCTGAATATTTTTGGTCGGGCCGAGTTCTGTTATTGTTGTGGCAAGGCAAGGCATGTCTATCCGGCTGTCTCTCACTCACAGACACACACACACACACACACATTGACTGGCACACACAAGTCAATATCATGGCATGGCAAACGATCTAGCAGCTGTTCCAGCTGGGACCTTGGCATGTCATCAACTGAAATTGACAGCTAAAAGTTTCTCTGCTGGCAGCAGCAGCAGCAATGCGCTGCAATTCATACGGATAACTGATTAAAGGTAGATAAGCATGTACAAGGGTTGACAACGTTTATTTATGCAATTCTTTATATTTATTGTGAAGGCTATTTAAGTTCCAATAACGTGCATTAGTCAAGTGGGGTTAAAGAGAAACTTGACAAAAATGCTAGACGGAGGTCTTTTTCCTCATAAAATTTCTTCTTTCTTTGATCTCCCTGTCATTCTCTCTCTTTCTCTCTCTCTCTCTCTCTCTATTTCTCTCTCTCTCTCTCTCACTCTCTCTATCTCTCTCTCTCTCTCTCTGTATCTCTCCATCGCTCTCTACCCTCCCTGCCTTACATGTTTCCTGTTAAGTAACGCTCATTCTTACTTTTCTCACTTTCACTTTCTTGCATTCACTCTCACTTTCCTGCCTCTCTTTCCCTCTTTCTTTCTCACTCTTGACTTACCCTCATTCTTCTTCCCTGTCAACTTTCACTCAGTCACTCCCTCCACTCTCCCCTCCTCACCCCTCGCTCTTCAGTTTACTCTTGCCACACTGTATTCAATAACGCCTTTCTATGCGATTTTCATGAAATTTAATTAAGCCCCACAGCAGTTGCTCTGTTGCACTGTACAGAGGAAGACAGATTTTGAAAAGTTTCGCTCTTGTTGTTATATAAATAAATTGGCTCTCGTTCAACTCAACAGCCTTGCTTCTGGCCCCGCCTCCCCCCTCCCCCACCCGTTATGTTATGCAAAGTGGGTCAATTCCAAATAGATGTAAATTCTCATATAGATAAATCGCATTTAATCAACATTTCGTATGCCATTATAAAAGAACCGCATAATGTGATATTTATGCATCTATTTCTGGATTACTTAAGCAGTGCACACTGTGATTATGGGCATTAGGTTCGTTTAGCAACAAGCAAAAGCCGAAGCTAAACTCAACTGTGACCAAATGTCACACGTGGTTTTAATTATTGTCACAAGTAACTATCTGCTCTGTGTGTGTGTGTGTGTGTGTGTGTGTGTGCATGTGTGTGTGAGTGTGCGTGTAATTACATTTTGTGGTATTTTGTAAAGTGTTGATTATTAATTAAAATAGCTTTATTTGCCATGGCACGCACGCCTGTGGACTTGTTAGAGCGCCTATCAAAATAACCGAATATCAGATATGCAGTTAAATATTTAACATTGTGCGCCTAAATACAACTCGTATGCATGTAATTATGCCATAACGAGCTGTACGTGTGCATGTGTGTGTGTGCGTGTGTGTTGTGTCTGTGTTGTGCTAATGGCTGTAATTAAACTGCAACGTGAGACGTTTAAATGCAAATTGCTAGCAAGTGAACTGCTTTGACTTTAGCCAAATTGTATTTACCAAAGCAGCAAGTACTCATCTCTCTCTCTCTCTCTTTGTCTCTTTCTATCTCTTTCTATTACAAACCATCTGTGTGGCACTGGCAGAAGGAGTTATTCGTTAGCAAAGTTGAGCCAACTTCGCCGCGCAACGAACGCAAATTCTCGGCCGCCACAGCGCCATCGATGAAAACAAAGTGGCTGAAAGCATTTAAGAGCCTAAAGCCGGCGGGTTCTGGTTCAGCAACACAAGCAGATAGGTAAGTGCCATCGCCCCTAGTCACAGCCATCTACAAATACAAGCCCCCGCAACCCGCACCCCGTTGCCCATTCAAACAATTCATGCTAAAAATAACTACCATCGCATGCTTATATATCTTTGTACCACGTTTAAGCCAAAATGCAAACTCTCTCGCCTCCCCAATATACCTATCTCTGTATGTATACAGTTCCAGCTCGTGGCAAATAAAAGCAAAACAGCTGCGAATTGTCGGCAAATGTTCCAACTGCATAGATACAAAATGAAGCGCGGAAAAGCCAAAGTAAAAATGTAAAAAAAAAAAATAATAATATTTTCTAGTATCCACCCGCACTTTAATATGACTAAAAGCCGCGAAAATATGCCCTTAAAAAAGTTGAAAAGTCGTGCGAAAATTGCAGAAAAATAAAAATGATGAAAAAAAATTCGAAATGGAAATGGAATTTTATGCAAAACGTAAAATCTTCCTCAAAATATTTCCATTTATGCAATTTTTGCATTTCCAAATTTACGTTAAGTAATTTAATAAAAAAAAGAAAAATAGAAAGAACCCGGGCAAAACGAGAGCTGAAAATGTTCCTTTCGTTTGCATTTGGCAACCACACAGTCGTCTCTCCCCCTCCGCCTGCCCCTCTCGCCAACATCCGCACACGAACAGACCACATAACGAATATCAACGGAAACTAAGTTAGCTTTTAAGCATATCCTTTAGGCATATCCTCTTTGCATATCCTTTAAGTTAGTCCAGTTTAACAGATGTATTTAACTAATATTCTCTACACATTTCTCTCTACATAACAAAAAAATCGAAAAAAAAAAAACATTTGAAACATTCTTTTAATTTGACGCCAAAATCGTACAATATATATTTATATATACATCAAATATATACTTATATATATAATTATCAATGCAAATCAGCCAACAACCCCGACAAAATCAAATGTACCACGCCGTATCAACCGTTTTGACCTTGAGGTAACCAAAATTAATCAAGCAACAAATAAAAATCAATCAACATTTACTTTATGTTTCTAATCGAATGGTACAACAACAACAACAACAATGTATATTAAAAAACATATATTTTGCTTTATTAGCGCTTGATAGAATACCAAAAAAATAAAAGCAAACAAATTGCCGTAAATGTTGCACGCAAACGTAGAATTAGCCGCTGCCCCGCAATGCAAAACAATTCGTTTGTATAAATTACAAAATTAAAATTGACAAAAAATCCATTAAATATATTAAACAAATATTTAATATCAAAAACCTGCAAAAACCAGCAAAAAACTAAAACTGTTTTTTATTTTTATTTGCATTTTTCACATTTTCACGTTTTATAAATTGAATTATTTTTTATTTATATATGTATATTTTATACATTGAATGAGCGCCATAAATTGCACCTGTGTCCAGCGGCGACCATCAATCAAAGCTGCTGTGAAATCAATTAAAATAGGCAAAGGCGCAACAAAAAATAGCATTCATGGAATGCCAGACATTGAGTAGGCGGCGAAAGCCCGTAGAAGTAATTAGGTTTCGATTGCCGCAGGACGAATACCCTTGCGAATGTCAATTAAGGACTTGAGCCTAACAAAGTATTTTAATTGAAAAAAAATTCGATTGAAGCTGAACTGAGTTTCATTATTATGTACTATGTACATGCAAAACAAAAATATTTAATAGGTATTAGTTTTTATATTATTTAGTAGTAGTTTTTATATTCATGAAAAATCTTATAAAATATTCTCAATATCTAAATTCAATATGAAGAACCAGTTATCTCATTGTATAAAACTTGTTCTAAAATAACTCATTTAGGTAGTCAAGTTCATTCTAGAAGAAGTTTCTTTTTGCTCTTCCTTAACAGAGCCTTTCAATTTCAATAGCAAGAGAGCATATTCAATTTTTCCATAACTAGGATTAATTCAAGTATATATATTTATGTAAGGATCCAAACCATTTGCGGCTCACCATTCAAAAAGTCATCATAAAAAACATCCATCAATCCATATATTATTTAGAAATATGTTTTCGCCAGAGTCAAACGAACATCGATATATTCCAGCTTATTCACCTTCAGCTAGAGTATCAGAGGAGCAGCCAGGCCAAAGCACACTTTTGCTATCTGCTATGCCGTTAAGGCATTTCTCTAACTAGCCTAGTTTGCTAGTAGCTATTGCTTTCGGTGTCCATATGTGCCCATAGAACTTACGCCACGGCCACTAAATTCAACTTGGCGCCAGTTGAAGCATTGGAAAATATGCGAAAAATTGCTGGCCATAAATTTATAGAAAGCCGCCATAGACACACACGCCAACACTCACACACACACACACCAACACACACACACACACACACACACATGCAGATAGATAAATTGCATTGGCATTGGCAATGCAATGCACTGGGCAATGGCGTCCGCATCTCCATCCACATCCACATCCGCATCCGCATCCGCATCCGCATCCGCATACTCACATTCGCATGCACTTCCGCTAGCAGTGTTCGCATTCGAATTGGCTGCCGTTTATGGCATTCCCATTGGCCCATTGCCTGATATATATACACGTTTTTTCACTCTCTCTCTCTCTCTTTCTTTCTCGCTCTCTCTCTCTCGTTCTTCATCATCTTTTTTTATTTGTTTGGTCGCATTCGCCAACAATACTTAATACCATGCCGACAGCTTGCGCTGCAAACGATGATAAATCGAAAATCTTCTCGGCTTAGAGCGGCTTCAGTGAGCGCGAAAGAGATAGGGAGAGTGAGTGACATATAGAGATAAAGTGAGATGGAGATAGCTGTGCGATAACTCGTCAGCTGAAGCGGAATTATGAGGCAACTGCTGCGGCTGCGACTGCGGCTGCGACTGCGGCGGTAACTGAGACGTCGGCGACAGATTTTGCAATATACGCTTGCAGCCTCATTCATCAACTCATCTGCTTAGCTGCTGCAGATCTGGGCCATATCAGCATATAGTATAATAGTATATTAGTTCTCGTTCATAGGGGCGCTGGCGCTAAGATTTAATATAAACATTTACAAACGTGACAAGAAAATCACAGTTCAACTTTTGTTATATTGCAAAACTTTTCGCATTGCGCACCAAATTACGTATACGCCCCCGTTATGCCAGCCAAGCAGCCCGCGAAAAGTCAGAATTCAGTTCGTTTTTTCCTTTATTGGAGCCCACAAAATATATTTTGTTGTTTTTGCTGTGCTTGTTTTTGTTTTTGTCATTTTCATTTATATTTTTTTTTTTTCGTTGGTTTTCATAAAACTTTTCCTTGCGCATTAATGAAAAATGTATAATTAATTTTATGGCCCTCATTTTGGTATTATGTTGGTTAAGAGTAAAACATGCATTTTGCTAGAATTTCAACACCCCGCCCACAAATTGCAACTCGTAACTCCAGTAAAAAACTGCTGAACTAAATCATGTAAATCACAATTTGAATATATAATAAAGTTATACCCCCACCCACTCACACACACACACACACACTTAGTGTACCCCTTAAACGTTTAACTATACTCTATATTTATATAAATATGTATGTCAAAGTATAAAAGCCATAAATCCAAATTTAATGTATTTAGTTTTTTATTAACAATGTATATTTACTATATTTATAATGCAAATAATATATATAAACTATATAGTGTATATATGTATGTGTGATCTCTATATAAACTTGGTTTGACTGAGTTTCAATTAAGTAGGATTTAGTTTAATTTCTAGTTGATGTCAAAATATTATAAAATTAGGTGTATGAGTGTGAACAGTGTTGGAAAAGAGGTCTGCAAATTCATAGTGAGAGCAGCGGTTACATTTGATTCTAGCATTTTTAGGTTGAGTTCAGAGTAAAGCAGCTGGGAAGAACAGAGAGAGAAGTTTTCAGAGCATAATATCATTATTAGACTTAGGTAAGACTTCATCTAAATAATTTTATAGGATGAGGCCTGTTTAAAACTACAAAAAGAAAAGGAAATAGTATAGTTATTAAAATATGAAGGAATACATGAGAATTATTTAGAATTATTAGAATTTGGTTTTTTGTTATGTTTTAAGAACCTTTATCCAACCTTTTAGGAAGTGAATTCAACATCAAAATTATGGTTTAGAAAGAAAATCAGACTTTGTTAAAAATGTAGTACAGATGTGGTAAGAAAATCAGTTCACTTTAGTGATAGACAAAACAGACTTAATTTATTCTATATAGAATTTATAGAGAGTTAGCTCAGCAAAAGCTAAAAGTACATGTAGCTCGTATTTAGAATTGAATGTCTTTTGTAGTTTTCGGTATTAGCCAACACTAGTATATGTTTATATGTATGATGCTACTGAACACAAACCCGATATATCTAATTTTTATTTTGAAATACCTTTAACTCTTAAGCTACCTATATTAAATACAAATTATTTGATACATTTAATAGTTCTAGCTAAATAAGTGAAACCAACTCAATTTTAAAGAAACAATTTTATTATTTGTAGCAAGTGTTGCGCTTTCGCTTGCAGCACGAACAACAGATTTATTTCCATATAAATAAATATATATGTATAATGGTAATTACTTAACTTGAAAAGGATAAACAACAACAACAATATATGTACATATATATAAATATAAATGCATACATATTTATATTTATGCAGAAAAAATTTGTATATTTTACACGTTTGCAACAACTTTATAAGCCAGCGTGCTGAACTGAACTGAATTGTTTGTTTGTGCACAATATAAGCCACTTACAAACAATCAGCGTCGAGAGTTGGCCCATTTCCATTACCACTCTCGTCATGGCTGTGCCTGGCCCAGTGCCTGCGACTGTGCCTGGTCCTGGTCCTCAACCTGGGTCTGTGCCTGGCCCTCAGCCTGTGCCCTCCCTGCCTCTGCCTCTGCCTGTGCCTGGCTCTCTGCCATGACCCTCTCGACCGCCCACTGTGAACACAATTGCAGCATTGTCTGGCGTATTGTCTATATGTCCCTGGCTCTGTACGTCTGTACTTCTGCCCGTCCATCCGTCCGTCTGTCTGACTGTCTGGCCAACAGTTCGGCTGTATGCTTTTCTGGTAAATAAAACAGGGCCAGAGTGCGAGAGGAAATACCCCAACAGCATCAACAGCAACATCAACATCAGCAGGAACATAAAAACAACAAATTGGTTATATTCGAGGGCAAATGCTATGCATATAAATATGACATCAAATTATTGAGATACACGAAAAAGAAATAAAGGAACGGGTTATATAATTCATTTGATGGTTTCGTATATCACGTTCGCAGCTGCCCAACATTCCGATTGTGGCTAAATGAACAGGAAAGGCGTATGAAATTTGATTCGTCAAAGAGTTGATACACTTTCGGAAATATGAATTCAAAGTCGAGCAGAAAATCCAATTAGAATTAATGCTGAATTGGTTACAAAGGACTCTTTTGATGTTTTCCATTTCGGTTCTAGATCGAGTTTAAGGATGCTTAGGATGATAAATTAGAGATTTACTTAAATATTTCTTGTAATTTTTTGTATAAATAAATTTATAGTAATTTGGTTTGTGAATGTGAGGACAGGCCATACTTTCATCTAGATATCTCTTTGGCTGTTCTAAATTTGATCCGTAGCCAAATTTTTCAATGCATCAAATATAATTAAATGTGTGCAAGCGTTTGCCAAGTTTTATTTGCCGAGTCTTTGCCAAAAGTGTTCATGCAAATAAATATTGAAGATAAATATGATTTCGTTTAGCTTTCAATTTGATTAGATTCCAGCTGTGATTAATGGCAATGCATAGTGAGGCAATAAAAAAGTTTAATTTCATATTAAATCAATAGATAGAATATATTCAAATAAATGCCCCTCAAAATATAGTATAATGCTAATAACAAAATCATTTTAATAGCTTTCTCCTAATTGTATTCAATTCGTTCGTGCTTGCCTGCTGCTGTTGCAGTAGTATTGGTGAGAGAGGCTCAGAGCGTGTGTATATGTAGTTGAGCTATAAATAGTATCCGAGTGAGTGTGCGCTTTAGTTGCGCGCTGCTCTGGCTTGCATACGCTCCGAGCGCGAGGGATACAGAAAGCTGCTGCCGAACGTAGGCTTGGCTGCCGCTGAGTCAGAGCGAGATGGCAGAACGAGAAGAGAACGCGAGCAGTGAGAGCGGCAGACAAAGCAATTACTGCACACGGCTGTTGCAGTGTAAGAGCGAAAGCTCTGATTCTGATTGGCAAAGAGAACGCAACTTAAAAGAGAGTGTGAAATGAAGCAGAGTAAAACGCAAAGCAGTTGTTGTAGTGTTTAACTGGAAAGAAATGGACGGCGATCAAATGACTACATATAAGTTAAAGAATAAGCAATCACAAGTGAACTACATTGGAGCACTTCATTATGATCAAGTGTACATACATACGTCCTATATAAATTACAGTCTCAAAGGCATTCAATTTATCACAGCAAATTCTCAGTGCAACGTGCCCAAAGTACTTTAACATTTAAAGCTCTCTTAATAGAGTCTTTTGCCGAGCTAGCTGGAAAGTAGAGGCAATCGCTTTGAGAGCTTAACAGAATACATAATATTGTATAAGTAATTCTGTGCTTGAAAGAGAAAGAGTCCTACTCTTCAGCAGCAGTTCGATGTTTTAGAGTAACCAAATATTGAATATACATTTAATTTCACATGCTCGGCCACTTATTGTATCTTTAAACAAGGCGCTGTGATTAATGTTCAGGCTATCCATTGTGCGTTTGGCATTGTTAGCTGCTGTCATTGTGCGCAGTTATATGTAATAATAATACAACACAACAAAGGCCTCGACCACAGCCACAGAATTTATCTACAAAATGCAAATTTTCACTTCAATATGCTGCAGCAGGGCACACATATGCTCGTCATGTATAAATATGTATATATTATATAGATATATGTATAGACGTGCATATATCATAAATATTTGTTTATTGTGGTTGACACAATAATTATATTTGCTTTGTTTAGTCCAAGCGAAGGCGCAACATTTAACACACTTTTGTGAATTGAATGGAATTCAATTGAGTTGTAATTTTCAATGCATATATATATATGATTTGAGTGTGAGTGTGTGTATGTGTGTGAGTGTGAGTATGAATGTGCGTGTGAGTTTGAATGTGTGTGCGTATTTGTGTACCCATATTGATGCCATCTCAATTGCACTCTCCACAGGCGTAATGGTGCCTCGAATGCCCCATCGGAAGCGCTGCGCCCCAATTTGGATGGCAGCCACCATCTGCAGGAGTACACATACAAAAAGATAACAGCTTGCGATGTTTGCTCGCAAATTTTGAGAGGTGCGTACATGAGTGTAGAGGCGAGTGCCTCGAGTGCCTTAAGCTCAGCTGATAACTGTATTCGTTCACAGGCCACACTCGTCAGGGCCTGCGCTGTCGCATCTGCAAGCTGAACGCCCATGGAGACTGTGCTCCGAATTTACCGCGCTGCCAGCCCAAGCAGAAGCTGCTGCGTCGCCAAAAGAGCACCTCCGAGCTGGAGAATCGCGTCGACATCGAGGAAGAAAGTGAGTATTTTCCAAGCACTATAATTACACCGCAACCAACAAAATGAAAACGCGCTCTCGCAAGCTCATCAAACGCTCCGCCCCTTTGCCCACCAAAAAATGAAAATAACAAAATAACACACACTCCCCTCTCTATCTCTCTCTCTCTCTATATATATATATATATATCTGTCTCTGTCTGCTTGGCTCGCTGCTGTGTGGCCCAAGTTTTATTGTACATACATATATTAACAATTTGTCCCATAGGCATCATGGGTCTTAACAACCTCCTAACTATGCATAAGCAAAGCCTTGGAATCCTTGAGTGCTTATGCTTTAAAATGAAATTCAATTTTGGTTTTTGTGATTCCTTTCGTTTCGTGTTTGGTTTATTGTTTAAGTTTTTTGTGTTGAATTTGTTCGATTCATTTGTGTTTGGGCATTTTGATTGGCAAACTGTGTGCGTCCCGCTCGATCGAGTTCCTCTGCAAATTGTGCATTTTGTGAACCTTCCACAAACTCACAAGTGTATGGCATTATTTCCAGCCCATTGCATGACAACTTCTAGACCTGGCAAGGACATCAACAACAACGAAAAATTGTAAACTGACAACAATTGTCATGTTGTATGGTAGCATATACTGCCTCCCCTCTCTCTCTCTCTCTATCACTATCTCTCCCTCTCTCTCTGTATATTGATTTGACTGTGTTGTGGGCAGCAATTGATAACTCACAATGGATTCATGTCAGTCGTGGGACTAACTGATTGCAACGTTTCTGATTCTGCAACGATTCGCAAAAAAAATTGAAAGTTTTTTCTGTTTTTTTTTTTTATTTTTATTTGTAATTTTTTTTTTATATTATATTTTCTGGTGTTGGTGGCAGACTCTCAGCTGCTATATACATTAATATATAAACACTATCTGAATTATTTAACTATTGGCATATTTGTTTTTTGGGGGCATATATACTCTGTGCTTAAGGCCAAAATACAGCTCGAGCTAAACCAAAAATCGCTAAATCCAAATTTAAATCGAATTTGTTAACAGGCTTTATATATAATTGAATATTCTAAATTATAGCGACAATTTGAGTAGCATATAAACACGTTTACCTGTAATTTCATATGCAACTGCCGCATCGACAACTGTGTATTTTAGCCTTTTGACCAAAAACAAAAACAAAAAATATTTAAAAATTGAAAATATCAATACTTTAGACAACCAAATAAATATCAAATATCAACTATAAAATCCTTTTCCCTCCCCACAAACACAAACAAACCGAAAAAAATAAACTATCTAAAATCAAATATATAAAAAGCATCGCCACAGGAGTCCGTTAGCCCCCAATGTGGTCAAGCCGCAGCCGATGAACAAAATCAAAGCGCAAATCTGTTGAATGTGCCCAATACGAAATTTCGTCAAAAGACGCCCTTCATCAATCGCATTGCGCAACTAGGTACCGACAGTATTACTCTATATAGTATATACGATACTTATATTGTATGCGCAAAGATACTCAATTGCCATGCGCTTGAATTGTAACTTCTATGATTTCTATGGTTTACCTTTGGTTCCCTTAAATTGGTTTCATTTGTATTACTATTATCATTTAACGGATCGGTTAATGCAATGATTGTTGCGCTTTGATTCACCTAATTAGCCAGACAAGAATGAAAAATACCAAGAAAAAAAAACAATTATAATTTATATAAATATTTTATATATTTACATATATTGCCAAATATTATCAAGCTCAAGCTCAAGTTCAAATTCAACAACAAAAATAAACACAAAATGTTCATTCCACACACATTTCAAGCAGGCTAAAAAAATTAAAGTAATCGATTTATCGATCCAAAAAATAAAATACCAATAAGATTGCGTAGTGGAGCATGATCTAGAGCTATCATTAAGTATATCTTATTGTCACAGCTAAAACAACAACAACAACTTAAAACAATCAATCAGATATCAAATTTAATTCACTAGCTATCGTACACGCACACAAAACATTCACATATATATATATATCGATTGATTTAAATGGGTATTGTATTGGCTAAAGAATCGATAAATATATTTAGCATTTGTTGCCATACTTAGAGGTGTTTATTTTCCTTATATACAACAAGCTAGTGCTCACAAAAATACACTCAAATATATTTGATAAGCGCTCGAGCAGGCGAACCATGCTAAAAGGTGGAGTTATCTATAGTAAAATTCTCTAATCGAAAAGCATTTCTCATCACACACACACACAAAACACTCAGATTCCCAATTTGATATATGTATATATATACTAGATATATCTATATATATCGCCAGTCCCTTTATATATTAAAAATCCGCCCATCAATAATAATCGAATCGAATATTCATCGCATCATTCGTTCCAATCACTTGCCAAAAACAAAATTGAACTAATGCGCTTGAATGCACCTCACCTGAATCGAAATCCAAATCCAAATCGAAATCGAAAACGAATTGTGTATCGAAATTGAATCAAACCACAACTGGCCAACCAACCACGCCCACCACTGTTCACGCCCACGTCCATCAACACCCACAAATACGGCAACAAATACGGCACCAATCAACCAACCAAAAAAAAAATACAAAACAAAAAAAATACAGAAATTACCGAAATCGATCAAATTTATCGAGTGCTGAAACAAGCCGGAGAACTCAAATCCGGGCATATTCCAGCCGCCGACAAATCCGTCCACGTGCCGGGCAAAACGCTGGACGTGAGCGCCGCTGGAACGGGAGTCGGAGCCGGAGCCGGAGTCGGAGTCGGAGGCGGAGTCGCTGCACCCAGCGCCGTCTCACAGCCGCTGCAACAGCTGCAGCCGGGCCTAGTCGAGCGTACGATGCCCGTTCCCGAGATACCCATCGTCAATGTGCCGGAGTCGTTGGCCCAGGAGACGCACCAGCCATCGGCCCATCAGCTACATCAGAGCCATCAGCGCAGCCTGGCATCGGTGGCGCAGGCGGCGGCGGTGCGGGCCGGCCGCGGTGTGCGCCCACCGCCCGTGGCCATGCCCATTTTGGGCGTGCAGCTGCAACAACAGGAGCTGCAGCAGCAGCGCGGCGGTCTGCCGGTGCCCACACAAGATATCTCTAGTAGTTCAGGTCCGCAAAAAATTAACAAACAAAAAAGAAATCAAAGAAACACAAATTGCAACAAAGTAGTTTTGTTGTCTCTCTCTCTCTCTCTCTCTAACTGTCTCTCTCTCTCTCTGTCTGTCTCATGATTTCATAAAAAATCTATTTATTTCGTGCAGTTACTTTTGACATTTTTATGGTTTGTAGCTTTGATTGCCCTTTGCTCTCTCTACCGCTCCCAATCTCTCTCTCTTTCTCTCTCTCTCTCTCTCTCTCTTTCTCATCCACACACACTCTCTGTCTCTCCCTCTCACTCCCTTGTAGACCATCAATCAATTTCGTCCTCATTTCTTCATTTCGTTACGTTTCCCCCCGCCTCCCTCAAGAAAAAAAAAACAATTTCAAGACCTGAAATCAATTCTTTAAAGCAAAGTTGAAAGTATTGTACACAAACTAAACGCATACACACATGCATACTACAAATATTTGATATACTCCATCTCTCTCTCTCTCTCACTCTCACTCTCACACACAAATATACTGTTACAATGAGTCCTTAAATACTTTTTAACCACCTATAAAGTCTGCTAAATGCTGTTACTGCACTTGTTTAAATGCCAAGTAGCGCCTTTCCTTTTCTAGCCTCAAAACACACACACACAGACAGTCACACACACACACACATACGATTACACTTTTATTGCATTCAATTTCAATGCTCATTCTGATTGCCCAACCGCATACGTTAGATACATTGCGCATACGCCCCGTTGCTTCGCCTTGCCGTTGCTGCTCCTACGCTTGCAATTTAGATTTTGACCAATACACACACACACACAGACACACAGACATACATACATACACTAACAAACTTGAGCAACGTAGCTATGCATTTTGTCTACACTATTTACAAATATAACAAAAATATGCTTCTTCTTTAGCTAATTTGCCGATTCGTAGTTCTTAGCTTAGCAACAGCATTTAATTAGCCAAATATATAACTAGTGCTTAAACTAAACTAACGTATTTAGTCTGTATGTATTTTGTATATGCTAATCATGTCATATATATTATCACACACACACACACACACATACACTCTCTCATATATATATTTATTTATACTAATGCTAATAATACAACATTAATAAAAGTCTCATTTGGCGAGAAATTTAAATAGCAGCGCTTAACTGTTTGTTAAATAGGCCATTTATTTAATAACTATTTGACTTTGGGACTTGTGCTTCTTCCTCTATGTGTGCGTGTGCGTGTGTATGTGAGTCTATATTTCCCCAGTGTGCGTGTGTGTGTGGCGCTTCTGTGTATTTTGTGCTAGGCACAGATACATTTGCTGTGCTTCAACAAAATTGCCCACTCGTTGTATCTGTTATCCTGACCCAAATAACAATTTGAATATTTAACAAAAAATACTACGTCGAATACTTGATACACTATAATAAGTGCACTTTTAATTAACTAGTATAAACAATTATAAATCAATACAAATTGTGAATGAGAATAATTGAAAATAATATAATTTAATTAAAAAAAAAAACTCCAAATTCAACACTGAACTGCTCACATTTTATAGGGTATACTAGGTGGTGGCCTTGTGTATGTATATGTATATGTATGTGCATATATATATATTGATGTGCATCTGTCAATATCAAAGGCAACCATGCAAGAATGATTTTCAATTGAAAATCGACGCAGCCAGCTGGCAACACAATTTCACATACACACACACACACAGACGCACACACACACACAGTCGCATGCATGCATGCAGGCATAGCATAACAGACGCTATGGGCGATCAACTTAAATGGCGTTGACTGTCGCACACTTAGTCGCCATCGAGTCTATTGGCCAGGCCAAAAGCCAATGTTGGCCTCATAATTAGCGACAGATTCGTCACTTGCAACTGCAGCAGCAGCAATTCCCATGCAACACATTTCCAATTAGCAAAAGTGTGCATGTGTGTGGGCGTCTCTGCGAGTGTGTGTGTGTGCATTGTTGATGTGCCTTTTGGTCATTTCTCTTGGCAAGTTAGTTCGACAATATTTTATGGTTTATTGCAGCAGAAACTGGCAATTGGCTAATTTGGCCAATTTGACTGAGATTGGATGGGGATTATACATGTATTGATAAAGTGCCTTAATTAAGCACACACTCTCACACACACACACAGACATAATTTATTGATTGTGCAACAATTCGAAATTAACACACTACAAAATGTTTTCTCGTGTCCCTTCTCTTGCCGCAAATAACTTGAAAATATTTGCTGAAAAAAAATCAAAATAAAATACAACCAAAAACTCTCAATAAAATGCCAACACACAACAACAACAACTACAACTACAACTACCACAACTTGACAACAACAAAGTGCAACGCTATGGCACACCCTATGCGCCCGTCAGCAACATGTCCAGCTCGGCGTACATCAGCAGCGGCTTTGGCATTAACTACTACACGGCCAGCGCACTGCAACAGCAGCAGCAGCAACAGCAGCAACAACAGCTGCAACAGCAGCAGCAATCTGTGGCAGCAGCAACAGCTTCATTTCAGCAGCAGCAACAGGCATCGCCAGCACATCAGCAATTGCAGCAACAACAGCCGCCAATCTCTTGCAGCTATTTGCAAAATGATCCGGGAGTGCGACGTCGTCTCTTTGCCGGATTTCGACCATTATCGGGCTTTGGACGTATGCGACAGCAGCGCTCGTCACAGCAGCAACATCGCTCGATATCATTGCCAGAAAGTAATTACGTCACATACAGTCAACTGCAACAACAGCAACAACATAGACAACAACAACAACAACAACAACACCAACACTATCATCACTTCTACCATCACTATCCACACGGCAATTACCCAGATACAACATTTCCAACACCTGAAACACCTTTCAACTGTTTGCGTACGCAACGTGCAACACATTCGGTCATCGATTTGTGCGGCAACTATTCGTTTGAGAGTGCTGCTATCAGCAGTATTGCGACAGCGACAACTGTAACAACAGCAACAACAGCAACAACAACAACAACAACAGCAACAACAACAATTAACAGTTCATCATCCAGCACAACAACAACAACAACTACTACAACTCGAACAAGCAGCTGTTCTTATTGGAATAGTACTGCATTTTATTCCAATTGGATGTTTAATTCATGTACATTTAGCAAGTGTTTTATTGTTGTCTCTCTCTCTCTCTCACACACTGTCTCTTAATGTGACCTCTCTCTCTATCCTTCTCTCTCTCTCTCTGTATGTGTTGTATTGTTTAGAGTGCGTATGTGCGTGCGTGTGTGTGTGTGTCTGTATGTGTGTGTGTGTGTATTAAGTGTTACACCTTAGTTAATTGCACCCACCCACCACCCCCCTTTTCATTTACTTTAATTTCCAGTTAGAGACGCGTCGAGAAAAACAAAATCCCGAACCCAACTTCACTTTAACAATGGACCCCAGCACGCCAATTAGTCTTAACCCAGTTTACACTTCAGGCAAACGGCTCATTTCCGGCAGCGACAGCAACTACAACAACAACAACAGCAACAACTGCAATTACAAGCACATTGCCATAATTTGTATACATGGCCGAGTTGCCTGCTGCAGAGCAAAAAGTGTTAGTGGGTGAGGGGGACTGGGGAGGGGGCTGGGGGGTAAGCAAGAACTCGACGCTGGCAAAAGCAGCTAAAGAAACAACTTGCAGCGTCTGTGCCGTGTAAATTGCGTCCCATTGTCAGCTTTTGTGTATTACACAGCGCAACGAAGAAGGCTTAAAGCATGGCGATGAGAGTGCAGCCAATGAGTGGGCATGCGCGACTAGCAGATGCCCTGCGCGAAAGCTTAGCAAAAACAGATCTATATTGCCTAAGGTAAAGCGATTGCCTGCTTGACTAGCAGATGCCCTGTTGATGATTAGACTACACTTGGCATATCTATGAGGCATACTCGACTGGTAGATGCCCTGTTAATAGCATTGAGCAGTCAGCAGCTGAGCATGCTCAACTAGAAACACTAGAAACTGGGAACTTATGCTACTTAGAAGAGCAATAGGAAGTTAATAGTAGGGCATGCACGACTATGAGTTGCCTTGGGTTAAAGGGAGGACTATTAAAGTGTCAATAAGACTAATTTGTATGCCCTATAGTAACTAAGCTAGCAGTTAATATATGCAGCCAAAGAGCATCTCGACTAGCAGATACCCTATGCTTAGGTGATCCAAAACTGAACAGACTCCCCAATTATAGCTAGACTAGCAGTAAACATGCAGTTTTTAGACAAGCTCAACTATAACTATAACTATACACATTGCTCAACTGAATAGAAGATTAAACCCCAAAACGTATGCTAAAAACTGCATTAATCGATATATATCGAAATTTAAATATTGGCCATGCTCTCATAGCTTCAATTGAAGCAGCTCCATTTAAGTACATACAACTCTAATATAGGTCATTAGTCATTCCTAATTACAGGGTATCTAGCGCAAGCTGCTGCACAAATAATGCAGCATTGCCAGCTGGCAAATTGCTCGTTTTGCCATTTTGCAGAGCACAAAATTGAAGTTGCAAGTCGAGGCGAGGCGAGTCGAGTCGAGTTCATTTCTGCTTAATATTTGCCGCATTTTTAATAGCATTCGCTGATCTATGGGCAGCCTGGCAAAACTTGGCTACTTCATTTTTGTCTCTGCTGCGCCTGCTGCTGCTGCTGCTGATGTTCCGGCTCCTGCTGCTGCTCCCACTCCTGCTGCTCGTCCACTTCAGGCTGGCTGCAACATAATTATGCTGAAATTTGTTGTGGCGCGCATTTTCTTTTATACAGCCCCTTCTGCTTTTTAGACTGGGTTGGGACTTTCATTTTGCTTACTTTCTCCTCTGTTTTTTTGTCCGCGCCCATTTGCCTGTTTTCTTAACGGCGCCCTGGACCGAGTTGGCTCTTAGCTTGGGGCACAGCCCAGACCAGAGTCCAGAGCTAGGCACAAGTCGCTGGCTGAGCGCTCCGCTCTCACTACTTTTTCTAGGATTATTATTATGCGCTGCCCATCTCACTCTCTCACTCCCTCTCTCTCTCTCACTTCCTCTGTCTCTCTGGCGCTGGTCCATTACAGTGTGCCCGGCGGACAGTGTCTGTTTTATGCATGAACGCTGGCGTCTTAATGTTTAATACTTTTGCTTTGTCTTCGTTTAACTTAATTAGTTTTAATTCGCTTTCGCATGCCAAAGTCGAGGCCCACCAAAGCAGCTCTAACAATCGTCGCTACGCATAATAAAACTAAATCCGAATAAAATGATTATATATACCAATATATATATGTATGTATGTAGCTGTGACGAACACCGATATTGTGCGTCCCTTTGGCGAGCCGCTGATGCTAACCAGAACCATACTCAAGAGCCCTGAGCCCAGTCCAGTCGATGATGAGGCCAAGACCCAACGACGCGTGCGTTTGGATTCAAATTCAAATAGAAATTAATTCAAGCAGCAGCAACAACAAGAACAACAAGAACAACAACAACTAGCTGACATCTGAATATATTTTGTTTTCTTTCTCTCTCACTCTCACTCTCTCTCTCTCTCTCTCTCTATCTCTTTTAATTTAATTATATCTTAAGTCTTGCCTTAATACTCAACCTTGATCTACTTTTATTTCCTTCTTTTGTGTATCCGTAGCCGTAGTCTGAAAGCCTTAGCCGTAATTCTAAATGTAAATGTAATTGAAGCACAGTAATTATTATAAAATACTCAAACTAACTAACTACACACACTTAAGCTAAGCATAGTGATTTCTCTCTGTAGTCTAGTGCGATTCGCATGAGTTGTGTGCGTTAGCTTTTTAAATGTATTTTAAAGTATTTTATTTAGTATTTTATCAATGCACCGCCACACACTGTATGCTTAAATCTGATTGTTGTAAATATGAAAAACTAAAGAATGAATAAAAACTGATGACGAAAATATGCATAAAAGAAAAACTGAAAAACGTTTATGAAGAGTCATGAAGAGTGCAAATTAAACGAATGTCCACAGAGATTTACACTAAACTACACGTACATTGTTTACTGAGGCAGCTGGCACGGGGCGCCTAAAAAAAGTCACACACACACACACACACACACACACACGGACACGAACACAGCTGTTATACACACCTGAAACACTTGCTGTCTATCTCGCTCTCTACTCTCTGTCTCTTACTCTCTCTCTCTATCTCTATCTCTGTCTATTGAATGTTGCTCTGTTGCAAAAGTATATATATATATCTATCTATCTCTAGTCTATGTCCGTTTTACGTTTTAATTTATTTTTTATAGCAACAAATCAAATTGATGGCATAAAAACTATTTTAATTTCTCTTTTCGGTTTTCAACTTCTTTTCTTTAGTACTTAACTATTATTATTATTATTTTGATTTCCTAGAGCTGTAGACTGCAAAATATAGCATACGAAAATTCTGAAAAATACCTCAATTAAATTGCAAATTTTTTTATACATTTTATCGCTTTTTCGTATGAAAACCAATAAAACAAAACCAAAAAAAAAAAAATAAACTCATGTGTTGTCTCCAAAAAATGAAACACTTGATCCAAAAATCAAAACAAACACCAACACACGAACAACAACAACAACAACAATTGCCGACAACAGCACCGCACTCTCCGCGCCGCCAAAAGCTGAATTTGCGCATGAAATCGTTGAGCTTGGACTCACCCGAATCGTCGGAGCTGCACGGTCAGTTTAGGCGACGCCAACAGCATTTGCCCGCCGCGGCAGCTGCGTCCACATCCAGCGGCTACTATCATGGCGGCTCGGGAGGCCATCTGGAGCACAGTACTCCGCCGTCGAACAACAGCCGGCTGCACTGTAAGTAGCTAACCAACCATCCCGCTCCCGCTTCCGCTCACCGTCTCAACCACCACCACGAACGGCGTTTGCACCCTAATCTCCAATTCTCCAATTCTCAAAAAAAAAAACAATTATTACTATCAATGATCAATGCTCTTCAGCAAAGCCAACTGCGCTCTAAGACTCTACTCTAACTCTGATCCTCAACTCGAAAGACTTTTCTATATATACACACACACAAGTCAGAGATCTTCTACAATCAAAGCAAAATACTACACTCAGCTGGATAAGATCTATGTATATGCAGAAGTTTGCTCAAAATACAACAATTGCTGCTGCTTCTTCCACTTTGTTTCGTTTTTGTTTTCGTTCACCAAACACAGCTCAAGTTTAATGTAGTTCTCTTGGCTTAATGTAGCTTGAATTTAAATTAAATATATAACTAATTTGCTTTACTTTCTCGTAGCCTTAGCTAAACAGTTGTAGAATTCGCTGAGCAGTTCCATTCACCAAAAAAATAAAATAAAATAAATCAAAATCAAAATACAGTCATACAATTATCATCGCTCTCGAGTAGTTATTGAATATTTTCAACTTAAGGCTTAATTTGGCTCGAAGCACTCGGCCTCTACACACACCCACACCGACACCCACTTTTCCTGCTCTATGTATCTATATATATATACATTTTTGGTTTCGTTTCTTTTTTAACTGTAGCTATCTTACTGTATCTTGTTTCTTTTCTATCATGCGTGCATTCAATTTACTGCCAAACCGCATTGAGAGTCGCACACACACACACGCGCTCGCTCTCTATGCGTGTGCGTGCGTGTGTGCTCTGCATGTACTCGCCTGCCATTGCTGTTGGCCATTAACACTGCAATTTCTTGTTCTCTTGCTACCATCTAAATTACAGCGCCATCGAGCCCCTCGCATCCGGGCCGCAAGCTGCTGTATGCCACGCGCGGCATGCGCGGCGGCAGCGTCGATTTACCCGACGATATGGAGAAGTCACAGTCCTCGGCCAGCACATCGCCTTGCCTATCACCCGTAAGACATGCCCAGGTATTCCCCCTCACATTTTCGGTTTGCCTCCCAATCAATTTATATTGCTTTTGCGTTTCTCTCTTGCTCTATCTCGCACTGTCTCTCTCTCTCTGTCTCTCTCTCCTTCTCGTGCTCTGCCTATGTTTGCCATTTGTATCAGTTTTGCACTTTATATCGATATATGTGGCATGTTGTTTATTAGCAGCGCCTTCTAATATCTTTCCAATTTCAAGAAATCGCATCGCCTCTTGCCCACCAATTTGTACGTTATACTCTACAACTTTAAGGCGCGGCATGCCGATGAGCTGGACCTCAAAGCGGGCTATAAGGTGAGTTAAATGATCAGGTAATAAGTGATGGTTAAAGGGGATAAAGGCGGAAAATGTGGAAATTGTTGGCAATATCTCTATTGAAATTTACATCAGATTAGGTAAATATTTCTTTATAATTTGACTTTATTTTGTATCAGAAAGAGCCAAGGTGTATGTTATCTATATATATGTATGTGTGGAATATATAGTATCGTTTCTAATATCAAATCTTTAGATAATCATATATAATTTTATCATATCCTCATACATCAGACTTTCATTTATTCTTAGATCTGTGCTTTTAGACACAGAGAAATCTGTTATATATATAAATAGACTCCAGTAAATATAGTTCGTTTCCTGCTCTCACTGTGTAATCTGTGTCACAATACCTCGAATTCGTTTTGAGCAAAAGATTCTCATTTATTTCAAAGTATAAACATAATCAAAAATGCAGAATCAATTTACTTTTTCTTGCTATAACAAACTTTACCCTTAACTATGGCCCTGAGACGCTTAGGAAAAGTCTGAATGCGACTTGCCAGCATTGCGGCTCACTTACGGATAATAGTTTACTTCAGCGCATTGGAAAGTGCGCTGCAAAGTGGCCCAGAGAGAATAATCTAGTCGATTCGTAGCTGCTGAATTCGAGGGCCATTGTATTGTATTTCTCTCACATATACACATACATATACATATATATATATATAGGTATATAACAATTATATCCAATATGTCAATTTGGACTTTGGCAAACTTTCCCAGCTCCAAGTTTTGTTCACCTTGCTGGCTTAACTTGATCTATTACGTTGTTTATGTCTAATCAACAAGGGCAAGAAGTAATCACAGATAGACTAAACTGTTTGTGTTTATAATATAATCAACTAGCTATTTATAGTTGCTTATATAGGCAGTAAAGCTAGCTTTATATAATAGATTATTAGTTGACGATGTCTATGATTACAGCTCTAACAAGGAAAGGAAAGCCAAGGCCAATCATAGCTATTGAACCAAGCTAGGTATTTCAGAGATTTTCAAAGCACAGGACAGAGAATTCTTCAAGCACAGGGCGTTGCTTTCACAGGGTGTCTCACATAAAAAACTAATATATTAGTCAAAAAATATATGTTTCTTATGATCGTCTTGACAATCAGCTCAGCTATAGCTCACTCATCTGAGTACATCATAAAGAGATCTATTTCACTCAGAGCTCTATCTATCAACCACTACAACTGCACTCCAGCTCTCTCTCTACTTCGCCCAATCACAATGCAGAATCTTCACTCGGCATGCTCTACAGTGCCTGTCAGCAGTATGTTAATAAGCCAGAGTCTCAACTCGACGCTCTCACATATGTTAAGCATACTCTGTAGGCACTGCAATCACTCGCTCGCTGAGTGCTGGTATTCAGTGCGCGTATACTTCTCGCATGCACTGTTTAAATGACTAAAAGAGCTTTGTTAAATCCGCTAAACTGTGAATTTATCTCGCAAACAAACACCAACACAAACGCAAACACGTACAGCAAGGACAATGGCTGTGCAGGAAATTGCTTGGGCAAAGCAAACGCACATAAATAAACCTCTGCATGGAGACATATGTATTTGTATATAGATTTCTATATATACGAGTGCACAACAATATATTCAATATGCGCAACAACAAATCCAAGAGTAAAACAACAGAAAGCAAAGAAACAGCTGAAGAGCAAGAGAAGCTGCTTCATTTATAATGTACACAGCGCATTTTTTATTATGTACACAGTGGGAAATAATAGAAAAAGTGCAAACAAAAACGAGAAGTTCGAGCGTTGCAATCGGGTGGGAATGACTGCATAATATGATGGAAAAATATATAAAATATTATACATGTATATCATTATAAAAATATATAAAATTTATACATCGATCTTTATAGCCCATGGGCATAGATATATTCGCCGAATCCAAATTTCAATATAGGAACAGGACTTCTGAGATAAAAAAAATATATATATTAAAAATATATAAATATTTTTTGATAGTTCTAAAACTTTATCAGATGAGCTTACATATGTATATCTGTATGTATATACAAAATTCCAGAGTTCTCCAGATGCTCTAGTCGGGCATTGCCTACAACCAATATGCTCATTTAATTTTCGTGAATGTGTACAAAAAATAGCAATATTAGTAGTTAAAGGGCGGGGCGTGTGGAGGTGGGGCGGGCTGTGTGTGTAGCCTGTGCACACATCCACTGATTGGCATTGCGATTGCGCATACGCCCCCATGGCCGCTGGCAAATTGTGCAAGATATTTACATATGCATTAGCCAAGTCGAGCAGCAGCTTTTGTTTTTTTTTTGTTTTTAGGTTTATATTCCACTTTTTTTCTGCGTTTGCCATTGTGTCCTGGCAAGGACAAGTGACTGCCACTGCCACAGCGACTGTAGTTAATGGCTGTTGCTTAACGCAAAACTCTTTGTACGCAGGTGACGGTCATCGATACCGCCGATCCGGATTGGTGGAAGGGCAAAGTGCTGGGACGCGTCGGCTTCTTTCCGTCAAAGTACTGCGTCCGTCTCAATGCCAACGAGAAGCCATTACAGGTGACACACAATCTGCAGGTATCGGATGGCGAGCGCGGCGAGAATATGACCCTGTTAAGAGACCAAATTGTTATACAGGTAAGTTTGGCTATAATTGGAACTGGAGAGAGCTGCCTAAAGCGGGAGTTGTGAAGCACTAAAAACTCTTCTCTATCTCCATCTCTCTCTCTCTTTATCACTCTCTCATTCTATAGACTGGCGATGAGGTGAACGGCATGGTCATGGTGCGCTCGGCGGACAATCGTCAGGGCTATTGCCCCATCAAGTACCTGCAGGAGGTGTGACAGCCAGAAGAGGAAGAGCCGCCTGCAAAATCATCAATGCAAACGTCGCGCGCCGCTGCCGCTACCGCTGCCGCAGCCGGCGCCGGCGACAAGACCAAGCGTAGAATTAGAATCGTAGTTACCGATAATAACAATTTAGCTAGTAGCAGTAGCTCTATACCCATCACCCATGTACAATCACAATCACAAACGCAATCACAAACGCAGACGCAGGCGCAGACATCGCCCAGCCGAGAGACGAAGCGCCTGAACATCGAGTACAGCGATGCGGATGGCGGACTCATCTGGGACAAGGACAAGGATGTGCTGATACTGTCGGGCCGCAACAAGAACGACAAGAACTGGGAGAACTGGGAGCGCATACGCGAACAGAAGCTGGAGAAGATGAAGAACATCTGCTTCGAGAGCTATCGCCAGTCGAAGCGGGACAAGCTGCTGCTGGCCAAGCCGAAGCCCAAGCAGCTGGACCCCACCTGGTACACGGACAACATCTACTCGAATCGCTCGGACGATCTGGACGAGGACTATGTGCCCGACTGCCTCAAGTACGGCAGCTACAGCAATCGCATTCTGCGCGACATACGCGAACAGGACGAGAAGTATGCGGAGGATGCGCTGCCGATGCGCGAGCGCCGCGGCGAGGGCGAGGGCTCGCCGGGCTACGGACTGCAGCGCTCGAAGAGCTGCAAGGAATTCCAATATCCAAAGTCGCAGAGCTGCTGCTTCGAGGGCAACGTGTTCGAGGCGGGCGGCACTGGCGGCACGGGCAGCTCGGGGGCGACGGCCACCACATCCATACTGAAGAATCGCGCTGGAGTGCCCAAATCGTACTCGTTTAGCGCCTCCACAAAGACCATGCCCTTCGACATCATCGACTACGAGCTGCCGCCCGCCTCGAACACGCGCCGGGAGAAGCGCGAGGCGTACAGACGGAGCATGAATATGCTGTATAGCAACAGCCTGGACGAGCGGACGCTGGCGCACAGCTGCTGTGCGCGGGAGCAGTGCACCAGTGCCAAGTGCTTGCTGGACGATATCTATGCTGGCTCCAGGCGGCGGCTGGATGCCTACGGCGCTGGCAGCAACAGGAATCTGAATTTGAATCTCAATTTGAATCGCAGCCTGCGCTCGCCCGACGATTGGTTGTTTGACGAGCGCGTCGAGGCAGCAGCAGATCATCATCATCATCATCAGCAGCACCAGCGGCTGGGCCGGGGCCAGCGCCTGCCAATGGGTGCTCAGGCAACGCCAGCCGGCACGACCGTGATCTGCTGCTGTGCGACAGAGGACTATTGCTGCCATCGCCAGGCACAGCAGCGGGCGGCAAGGCGGCCCCACTGTCCGGGCCATCATCCGGCCGCCGAAGAGGAGGAGCATATGCATTGCCGCTACGACACCGACCTGGAGCAGTTCATACGCGCCGAGCGCGAGCGCCTGCTGCTGCAGGACAAGTTCCTCGACGAGGACGAACGCTACTTGGCCCAGAGTCACATGGCCAGTCCGGGCAGACGCTACGCGCACTATACGCGGCCCACGCGCAGCAAATCCCTGCTGGAGGTGCAGCCGCCCAGCTTGTTCGACGAGGACAGCTGCTCGGATACGACTGAGATCGATCTGGAGGACTTCAACATCGACCTGGAGAAGTACTGGGAGCAGCTGGACAAGCCGCCCAGCCCCATCAACATGGACATGCGACGCAACATGCACAGCAATCTGAAGGTGAAGAACGTGAACGTGCGCTGCTACAACAACGGGCAGCCCATCGATATGCACGACCGGGAGCACGAGCGGCTGATGATCAAGAAGTCGCTGCTGGAGGGCATGCCGTCGCCGCCGCAGCTCGACTCGAGCGGCTCCTCGAACAATGCGACGGGCTTTAGTTTTTTTGAGAATCCCGCTGGTTCGCTGCACCACCCTCACCACCACCAACAACAGCACCACCCTCTCCAGCAGCGACACCATGGTATTGCAGCGCCAGCAGCACCAGCCTACGGTGGCTACGGCCACAAGGTGTACCCGACTGCCGATACCCTGCCCACGTATCAGTACAACAACTTCTACCCGGAGCACACGACCCTGGGCAGCGTGCTCACCCAGCAGCCGACGGCGGGCGTCCACCATGCCTCGGCCGGCGGCCACTCGGCGCTGAGTCTGATCAACAACATCTTCTCCATCTACAAGCCGAACAAGTACTCGCCCGAGAACTGCCAGCTGAACTACGAGAGCAAGCCGGAGCCGTGCAAGAAGATGAACGTGCCGAGCACTCGACGGCCCCTGGGCGCCGCCTCCAGCAATATGCAGCATGGCCACGAGTATCTTCACTCGTCGATGAAGCGCCCGCTGCTGGTCAGCGCCGATCAGCCGCACTTCAAGATCATTCCCGAGAAGACGGGCCTGAAGATCTCGCCGCTGCTGGCCTATGATGAATACGGCGGCGGCGGCGGCGGGATCGCCGGAGATAAATCACATCAGAGGCTGACCAGCACGGCGCGACCTCTGATGCTTCCGCACTGATGGTGCTGGACCTTTCCGTGGTATGGTAATGGTAATTATTGTTAGTTATGCTCACAGCGACTGCCGAGAATCTCCAGAAAAGAAAACAGAAACTGAGAACTAAACACAACTAAAGGAAAAACCAAAAAAAAAATGGAACTAACCAAAAGACTCGCTCGACAAGCAGCAAAAATACAAAACCAAAAAAAAAAAATTAAAAAAATAAACAAACTGAAAACAAACAAAAATCCAAACGCACAAATTGGCCCCCAGTTGAGTCCAGAGTACGTTTTTTTTTTTCTCTTGCGACTTGGGCTCGGGCTCTCAACTATTGTTGTAGTGGAACCTCGTCTTCGCCCCGCCTTCCCCATTTTACAGCCAGGTCGTTAATGTTGAGAACTTTGTGGGATAGAGCATTGAAGCATCATCACGTCGTTTGTCTGACACTCAATTTTCACAAGCGATAAAAACTACCAACAGCCAACAGCAACAACAACAACAAGAAACACCATCACCAACAACAACAACAACAACTGCGCCATACCATTGGAAATAAAACTGAAGTAGGAGAGCATCAGGAAGTGAAGCGTCTTCGAAATGTAGCGAAAATTGTAAGCATAGAAATAACGAGTAGGAAGTAAGATGTAAAGAGTTTAAAGTAACTAGTCACAAGTAACAAGCACTGAATAGTAACGAGTTAGATGTAACGAGTGGAAAACAGTTTGAGGAATCTGCTAACGAGCTCTGACTAAGAAGTAACGAACCACAAGATTTAGGTAAAAAGCAAAGATAACGTGAGTTTTCTAACGAGTAGCTAGTCAAGAGCAATAAATATGAAGTTACAACTAACGATTTAGTGTGTAAAACTTCCAGCTAGTAGGCGTTACTTACTTCACGAGGCAGCTAACGAGTTAACAAGTTAAGAGCAACAACTAACGATTGTGAAGTGACTAGTAGCGAGTAACAACTAACGACTAATAAGCAACAAGTAACTAACGAGTAACATTTAAGAAGTAACTAGCGAGAAGTAACGAGTAACGAGTAACGAGTAGTTTTTTTTAAGTTTCGTTAATGAAACCGGATTAAGAAAGAGCTGCCACAGCAGCTTAGCTTTGACTTTGACAAACGCAGAAACACATATGAATACACATATTCACACACTCACACTCACACACATACTCAAACTCACACAAACAAATGTGCTTTTAAATCGCTTGAGAAATCGCCGCATCTAGTTAATATATGTAGAATAAGCATGCATGCTATGTGTATGCTAACACTAATTTTTCGAGCAACTTTTAAGCAATCAGCAGCGTATACTATATATACATATATATATATATAGAAAGAAAGAGTACTTCTAGGCTAGGCTTAAGTCATTCATATCCGTGTTTCACATTGTATTTAGTGTTGAAAGCGACAGCATCTTGTATACCCTGTAATACAACCTTGTAGCAGTTAAGCAGATTTTATTACTACAAACTATTTGAAGATAAAGAAAACGGAAAACAAAAACCAAAAAATCATTTGAGACAAAATGTTTTTATTGCCACAAAATTTTTCTATTTTTTATACCAAACAACTTTAAATGCAGAAACTAAACATAAAGAACAACAAATATGAAGTAAAACCTACTTAGAAGCGGAAGGAATGAGAGGGAGAATAAGAAGAAAAAGTTATTTGATTAGTGGAATATATTGTAAGGCTTGACTCTATAAGTTGCGGCTTCTAGGCACTGACAGAACTTTAGTCTTATACAAGATACAAACACACACACATATGCATACATGCAGACGGATGTGTATGTGTGCGTGCGCTTTTTATAACAACCACTAGAGATCGTCTAATGTATATAAGATGTTTACTAAACTTAGTATTTATAAATAATATACATAGTATGTATGTATGATTGTACTTTTATGATGTATGCGTATCCACTGGCCTTATTTATATTGACAAAGTAACAAAGCAAACCGAAACACAAGCTGAATTCCCAAACACACATAGACAGAGAGACACCACACATACACACACACACAAACTTATGCACTTAATATATGAATTTATTTGCGTAAAACTTTTGAGCGCACCTGAGAATTAATTATATTGATTCCAAATATATATTTCTAAGGCTTTGATTTCTATTTTTTTGTTAATTATTTTGGCGTCCAATTTTACACTGAACATAAATAAGTATTAAATAAAAATATATATATATATATTTATGCGCTAGTGAAGGAGTTAAGCATAGCGAGTAAAATTGTACACGAGCCTCAACTAAGCGAGCTGCGTATTTTGTAGTCCATAAGAAAAGCTAAACAAAAACTAAAAGAAAAAACAAACAAAACAAAAACTGTTTTTAGCACTCAACAAAATATGTGCATTAAACTTTTGAATTTAAACTTTTTGGATTTTTCAAGATTTTTCCAACTAAGACAAGAGCAGGAACTAGAGAGAAACATTTTCTTAGGCATCGTTTTTTCTAACCACATTGTTGTTGACGTACTTACACATACATATATTATTCTAAGTGTACCCCTATGGCCTACTTTAGTCGTTAAGGAGAAAACAAACAAACAAAATACTAAAACAATTTGCTGCACCAACACACATTGAGCACCCATTTATCTATAGCAGATACTTAGGTATATATAAATATATATGTATATGTATATGTTTAGTCAGATATGATCAGTTTCTAGGCTTTAAGACAAATGTAAAATGAACGAAGTCGATGAACATGAAAAACGCCCAAATCTTATGAGTATGTAATTTAAACACAAAATAGAAAATGCAAAACAAATGTAAACAAATATGTAAAAGCAAAGGAAGTAAAAAACGAGTTACGTGAAATGCTGAAATTGGCAATTAAGTAAAAGTAGAACTTAATTATAACTAAAACGAACATTTAACTATAATAATTCTAGCAGCCCAGCTGATAAACAATTTGAAGCTTCATTTTGTTTATTTAGTGTAAAAATATTGTTAGAGAAAGGTCAGAAGATCATTATGAATCGAGAATCGATGTATGTTAATGCTAATCCGTAAACAGTTTAGAGTATTTGCTAAAGGAACGTGCGCACGTACCCCTCGCAACACCCCCACAAAAATAAACCGCAAGGAGCATAGAACTATTTGTAGGAAATATACAAACTAAAAAGGAAAATATGATACATATACATGCATGTGTATGTATGCATTGTGTGTAAGGCAATCCGGCAAAGATATCAGTACAACTAACATATATATATCAACTGGAGCAACAGAAAAACAAAAAGCGAAAAACGAAAACTAAACAAAACTATTTAACAATTAAAATAAAAACATCTAGACAATTAGTAAATAAACTTAAATTCAAACATATAAACCATATTGAATTCAAGCAACAACAAAACGAAACGCAACTTAAATCATTTTTAGCACTACGTGTAATTGATATGTAAACATTTTCCTCGCTATCCTTTGCCTAACTCCCCAATCTAGCTCCTGTGGCTAGTGCAAACACAAAAAGTCTCACATCCTTTTAATTTACCCGAATAAATGAAAAGATAAATAAAAACAATGATGTTAAAATTCGATGTAAAAATATAAAACGAGTTTTACTTACTTTGGTACAGGGCTTGCAAATAAAATGCATTGCATACTTTCAGGCTGCAAATTAAATCGGCAAATCGACTCATATCGAAAAATTATTGCATACTCTTGAGCGTCGCAGGATAATCGACATAATTATTTGCGTAGCATACTTTCGCGGGCCGCTGTCCAAAAACAACATTCTGTTGCATACCCGCGAGGGCTCTCTGTAAAAATTAAAAGTGCTCGGTTGCTTGCCAATGAATTCTATGCGCCTGGTAGCTCAGACGAAATTACTCAGCATTTTCTGCTCAGCCCAGGAAAAAAGATTTCTTTAGCAGCTAGCGAAGCTCCATTTTAACCGCAAATTCAGCTAAAATACCAGGCACACAGAAATGAGTAGCAAGTTGCAGCTCGCTAAAATTTTCATCAATCAAATAAACATTGCATACTTTTGGGCTGTGCGAAATAATCAATATTTAATTCGTGTGGCATACTTTCGCCTGCTGCTGCACACAAAAATTATGTGCAATTCGTCGCTTGCTAAGGCTTGCTGTGTGCCTGGTATTTCCATCGACTTTACTCAAAATCTGCGACTCACCCACCCACCCAAATAAGAAGAGTTTCTTTGTTGTTTTTTTTTTATATTTGATTATTTTATTTATAATATATATCACATTAAATTTTACATTAACCAAGATACAAAATATATGCGACTTGTCATTGTCATTATAATCATTTGTCATTTTTACAATCGTTTTCATTACATATTAATAGATATTATTTTAATGAATAGGTATATAGGTGTAGTTATGTATGTATCTAGACATTTCGTTCGAATCGGTTTTACATTATAGGATTTTCGGATCGACATGCTTGGCATATCGAGGGTTTTACAATATTTGTCATGGGTTTTACATAGTTAATAGGTTTATTACATAGTATACGCATTATTCTTTCACATTGCAGGCAATTGAATGGGTTGTTTAAATATAGTTAAGACTGTCGCAACGGCATGCTTGGCACATCGAGGGACATGGAGGGTTTCATGGGGGCAAATCGGCTTGACCAGTTATACGTACATAGCTAGTTAAACATTAAACATATAGTTACAATTAGGGACTAAAACTAATAACTTGTTTTTCTAAACTAATTGCATCAGAGTCAGTCAAAGAAGTTGGAACCTAAAACCTAAACTACTTTGCCAGATGCGCCCCATTGAAGGCGACCTTAATGTCAGGCTTAGAGCTAGTTTATTGTTGTTGTTGTTGTTGTTGCTGCTGCTGGCTCGTCTCCTGATTGCTGTGGCTGCTGTGATTGTTCTGCTGCTGTTGTTGTTGCTAGTGTTGCTGCAGCTGCTCCTGTGGCTGTTGCTGGTGCTATTGCTGCTGTTGCTGCCGCTGCCGCTGCTGCTGCTGCCGCTGCCGCTGCCGCTGTTGTGCTAGCGACCGCACCATCAAGCGCATTAAGCGTATTGCTGCTGGCGGCCTTCTGATTGGGAAAGAGCACGGAATATGCCGGTGGCGGATCCAGCTCCTCGTAGTTGGGCGGCGATGTGGCGCTGCTTGGATCCATGCCAGCTCCATTGGCTGCGGCCAGCGCTGCCTCGCGCTCATTGTTGACAGCGTGCTGCGATGCGGAAGCTGTAAGTGTACGTATGGATTGAATGTGAGAGCTCAAGCGACAACAGGAAACTGTTGCGAGATGACGGCCACAGAGGAGGCAGTTAATGGCGAGTTGTGAAAGTTAGACATAGACATGGATACAAAGAGATACATTGAGATACATAGATACATAGATACATAAATACAGAGATACGGATAAAAGTTGTATGGCATGCGCAATGTACGACGAAGAAGAATACGAAAACAAAACACGAACAAGAAAACTCGCATAAATATTGATGTCTATGCCTTACTTGAACTACAAAAGTGTGCAATTGAACGTACCCCAGAGGCCGCAGATGAGCAGCGCGCCGCCGCAGAGCAGCATGCCGAGCATTAGATAGCCCCACGGCCCGTACTTGGACAGGTCCGAGTGGAGTCCGCTGCGTGTGGAGTTGCGCCTGGTGAAGCCGCTGCCAGCACCGCTGCCATTTACAATGCCGTTCTCCATGGTGCCATTATCCTGCGCCTTGCCATCCACCTCGGTGGCGAACTGAGTGCCGATGGCATTGGGCGAGCCTGGGTCCGGCTTCTTCATGTCTTTGGTGTGCACTTTACGCAGCTGCGTTGTCGAATTGCTATTGACGCCAGCTGCTGCTGTTGCTCCTCCCGCTGATGCTGCTGCTGCTGCTGCTGCTGCTTCCGTTTCGCCGGCGCTGCCATTGCGCTGCGGCATATCCTCCGGCGATGTGGGCGCATCGTAGGCAAACAGATTGCGAAACACCTCCAAGGCGAACTGCTCAAACAGATCAGACTCCAGCGCAGAGGGCAGCGTGCCGGCGCCAGGACGACGCTGCTTATAGCACAGCTCGTAGTCCTCGTCGCTGTCGTACTCATTGCTGTACGGGCAATGGCGTATGCCATCGCACGCCAGCTCCTTGGAGATGCACAGAATGGGCTCGTCGCTGCGAACAGAGAGATATCTATTAGTAATTTCATTCCATATGGTATTATAGGTATATCTGCCACTTACCCAATCTTCAGGCACTGATGCTTGCTCACATCCTTGCACTGCTCGCCCTTGCCCAGCACCGTGACCATCAGCTTGGACTTGAGTGCATGCATTCCGTGCTCCCACACGATCCTCACGCGGCCATGGAACAAACGTACCGGATCCTCCATTTCGGAGGCGGTATCTTCCAGCTGGCAGGGATCGACGCGCCATTGCGCCGTATGCGGATCCAACGAGCTGAACTGCAAAGGCAAAGCGGGCAAATCAATTATATCTAAAGAACTGCTCCAATATTTGCTCGCGCATGCGCAAACAATTCACGCGGCTCACATACCAAATGCAAATCGAAATGGTAGAAACATACGAAATTGGGTCTAAAAACTACGAACAATAAAAACCACTCAAATCTTTTCACGCCCACACAAAGGCACACGAAATCCGACGTGATATAAATTATTTAGTTAAACAAAGATGTAAACGTGCACACAATAAACACTCAACAGCGAATATTCGGCATGGGAAACGGCAATAATAATGGCAAATTAAATATTTACACTGTGAAACATTTATACAATTATTTTATACATTTTTATTTATATTTATATACGTCGTCGCGCAAAAAGCAATTTCATTTAGCATATGCGAAACTCTAAGCTCATATATTATATATGCATTTACACACACACCCCCACACACACACATGCACACATGCATTTTGAAAAGTCGTAGAATGTATACAATTTATGATTATATTATCGCCTGCTGCCAGTTAAGCATCTCAAATATTTATTCAAATTTGCGAGTTGCTGTTCCTAAACTAAATACAGTTGCGACTAAATAAATATTAATTCAATTAAGTAAGCCAGAGCGACGTTATCAGATGACAATATCTCTAAGAAATGTTAAAAACAAATAAATACAATTTTTCAACAATTTTTACCAGGTGTTTGCAAACAAAACTGTGATGAAATTCTTTGACAATGGAATTCGAATAATTTGTACATGTTTATTCAGCAAACTTTTTCTATACCACTTGCAAAAATAATATATTTCTTACAAATCAATCAGTCCATCTCTACATTTGTTTGTTTATGCCTCAAATTCCATAAACTTGGTTATAAAATCAACTTTTTTCCCCGCTTCACTCTAGCCCGCATTTTTTCAACTGGTTTGAAATTATTTTACCTTTTATTATTTGCCATTTTTTTTTATTGTATTCTAAAATATTTTTATGTTTGTGTTTCACTTTTTTAACTCTCAATATATTATCCATTTTGTAGTATTTTTTATAGGATTTTATTTGTTGCTTTGAACACATGGAAAATGGGAAATCAGTGCTGAAAGTGTTTTTTTTTTTTTTTTTTTTTTTTTTTTTTTAAAATATTTTTTTTTTTTTTTTTTTTTTTTTTTTTTCAAGATATCTTTTATTTAATCTACTCAGTAAAAATATGATACTGATGGAAATATAAATTAAGTAAAAAGTAGAAGTGGAAATTCTCCGACTAAAAAAAATAAATAATATATTAAAATATATATAAATAAATAAAAAATAAAATATTAAAGTAAAAACAGCTCCATTCTTTCGGATTTATAATAAGTTACTTTCATTGAACCTTATAAAAAGGGTAATTTTTTCTCTGGTCCTCTACAGAAAGTCTTCACCTGTTTACTCTATTATATCTAATGCGGATATTTCGTCTAGAGATTGTTATATTAAATGATCAATTCTGGAAATTTTTAATTTTTGGCACTTGAAACCAAGTTAGCAAAGAGATCCCATACACAAGTATATATCTAACTATATAGTATATAAATGGGTTCCCTCATTTAGATAACATCTAAACATCTTTTGCCAGCGAATCAAGGTTTTCTTTCTTTGGGCTAACGCAATTAGAGTTAGTTTGGCAAAATCTGCACCTAGCATCGGCGTGAAAAACATTTCGACTTTGACTTTGGCTTGACTCAATACATAAATGAATGAGCGAGTGAGTGCATGGGTGGGTGTGTGCGTATATGTGTGTATATGTGAGTACTCTTGACTGCGCATGCGTGACCACAAAAAAAAAAAAAAAAACAACAAACAAAAAACAAAATGTGTGAGATTTTGTGTTTGCTTTGGATTTTTGTGTTAGCATTGAACTCGCCTCAAAATGACAGAAATAAAGACCAAGCTGTGAGCTATTGTGACTTTAGTGCTTTAATTCTAATTTATGCGTTGCCTATGACTCGATTCGGAAGGTTAACAAAACTTGATTTGATTGCATGAGCATGTGTGTGTGTGAGGGTGTGTATGAGTGTGTGTACATGGGCATTGAGTACTTTTCAGCATTTGTGGCCAATTGTATTGAGGTTTTGTAATGGGCGGGTGTTCTGACCTATTTTGCGGTTTTCACAAGACATTTTGACATTTCAAATTGTTCTCAATTACAGTTAATTTCGCTGTCAATTTAACAAATATACTCTAGAGCTGAGTTACGAGGCACTAAGCGAGTGCAACTAATGCGACACTGAAGCTACTAAATTATGGATAACTCTTTGCGGCAGTACAGGCAGACAGAGAGAGAGAGAGGGAGGCAGCTGCTGCTGCTGTGGCTGCTGCTTCTGCTCTCAGCTAACGAGAGATATATTCCGAGCGCGTGCGATTTGCATAAGCGCGCGCCCGTTGTTGGCTTTTGCTGTGAGTTCTGAAAAGTTGTTGTGTATTTGAAACACGTTTGTCTCATTTGGCCAGGAAAATACGAAACGAAACGAAACACAGACAACACTTTCAGTTGCGGCTATGACGTTGCGTTGCCATAAATACTACGGCGACAGGCAGACGGACAGCCAGCCAGACAGACGAACGGACTGATAGACGACAGTTTGACAGCATTGAAACGTGGACAGTCTTTAAGCCATAAAAAATTGTGCTGCGCATGTGAGGATATCAACGATTCAGTTGCGGGTGCGGTTGCCCGTATCTCTACCTATATCTATACCTTTATATATGTATATATATATAGGTAGTTATATATATACTTGTATCTACAACTGTTCAACTATATAAACGATTTCTTTGTCTGAGCTGCCTGCATATGCAAATGTTGTTGTTGTTGTTGTTGTTGTTGTTGTTATTTGTTGTTTGCGTTGTTTGCGCACTGCGAATATGTCACACAATTTGCAGCTTTTGTTCTTAATGAGTAAATCGAGAGTCGCACACGAACAGCATATCGCATTTAATATCGCATTGCACAATATCAATTGGCAATCATTAGCTGCACTTATCAAATAGCTACTGATGCAGCAGCAGCACTTAGCCAGGCTGGCTAACTGGTTTCATTCAATTCAATTAATTAATTGTTGATTGTTTGTTTGTGCATTGCTCAACTAAATGTTGCGCTCTCTTTCTATTGCAGCCCTTTTTGGCATAACAATGAGCCACACTTAGCAATTAGGTTTAGTTAGTAATTAAACAAGAGCTAATCAACAATTTCCTTTGTGATGATTAGTTAATTTTCAGTAATTAATTAAGTAGAAAATCTATTGATTTATTACACTAATTTGTGGTTTTCTGTGAAATTTATTATAAAATTTCTATTGAATTGCATTTCATTAAAAAATTTTTTATTTCTAGTAGCGTTGTCCATATCAAAAATTCTTTTATTAGCCTGGCTAGCGTCCATCTAACCATTAGTCGCTTATTGAGTTCGAACTCTAGTTTCTAATTTTAGCTTTACTTTTTATAGTTTTTAGCTTTTTAATTTAGCTTGAATATTGTTCTCAAAGGAAATTTAATATTTACCAGCTCTAGCTCTGACCTATAAATTCTATATAACAGTCTGCTGCTGGTAGCGCCATCTATTGGCAGTTGCTTGCTAGCTTTCCAGTTGACTAACTATTTCTATATTCTATATTCTAGTTAAATTTTCTAGATGGCTAGAGCTAACAATTTCATCTCCAGCATGCACACAAAGTCATTTAGTTTGAATTAATATTTTCATATGAAATACTTCATTGCATTTAGATTAACCTCAATGTGGAATCTACACCTATCATCTGCAGCTATCCCAAGCCCTCCAAAGCTGATTAGCTTTCGAAGTGCACACACATTCAATTAGATACTCCAAAATCGTTTGTACTTACAATATTCAATGGACAGGTGCGTCCCACAACAATGGCAGAGGAGGAGGCAGCATTTGACGCTGCTGCTGCTGCTGCTGCTGCTGCTGCTGCTGCAGTCGCATTTAGCAGCAACTGCGACTGTTTGTTTGCGCTGACCAAAGCGGGCATAATGTTGGAGTTGGCGGCAGCCGGGGGATTGTTGCTGGCATTGTCGGTGCGCTGGGTGTGGCGCAGCTTGGGCAGAATGAGGCGCACAATGAATCCATAGCTGGGCGGGGCGCTCAATATGCGGGAGCAGGACTTGTGCTGGGCGCCATAGCTGCCCGGCTTCAGTTCAATAATCAGACTAGACTCTTTGCCATCGCTCTCGATGAAATGCTCGTGCTGAACGCTGCACAGCGGCTTAAAGGTGGGATGCGACAGCAGATCACCTGTGGAAAGACAGAGAGAGAGAGAGAGAGAGAGAGAGAGAAAGAGAGAAGAGGTAGGTATGAGTGTATGGTAAAAGTTGCTCACAAATTTACAAAGAGCTGCTAATTTATGGCGCACACATGGAACTGTTATATACACATGTGCATGTATGTGTGTGAGACTCTATGTGGAGCACCTTGGCGACATGCCTCAGGTCATGCCTCTCTGCCGGCTCAGATGAGAAGTGTAATCAAACTATAAATAGCTGGCGCTACTTTGTCGCTCATGTGGACAGCCACATGTACATCTATTGTATAACATCTATGGCATCTATAAGTGAAATTCAATTAATTTGATATAGTTGCTAATTGAATAACATGCATCTAGTCTACCTATAAAGGCAGCAGCAGCAGCAGCTCGTCAAGAGTTGCGGCTCAATTATTTTGCACTCGCACTCGAACTTTGCGCGCTTGAGGTTAAAGATACAAGCTGCAAACACACACACACACACTTGCAGCTAAATTAATAAAGCACGAGTGCGAGTTGTTATGGCTGTTTGTTAATAATGAAATATGTGTTTACAATGTGCCGCCGCCAGTTGCTGCGCCAGTCGATTCGCTTGCCTTTGCTATAGGATGAAAAAAAAAAAAACTACTCTTTGCATTATATTCTGGGTCACTGACTCACACACACTCGCACACACTTCACATATTGCTACATTTTTATTACAGCTCCCACGGAACGCCCCTCACCCCCCGTCGCCCATTGGCTTGGCCATTTCTTATGCAATTGCCAACGCATTTGGGCTATTAACATTTAATGCGCAAAATCAATTTGCATTTGCTTTTTGCAGCCACTGTAGCACACACACACACACACACACATAGTTTATTGTGAACTTGACATTAATAGCCAAGTGGCTCGACACGTGCTGCACTTTAATAAATTATTCGAATGCTCAGCTTCAGCTGCAGCTACAATAACAAACAACAAAAGCTGCACTCGAATTGCATTTATGATTCGCAAATTGTTTGTTAGCTCATAAGCTTATTAATAATTGCCAATAATTTGTTATTCATTTCTTTTTTCCTATTCTACTCTACAGATTACAAAATAGACGCTTGGGGCGTGGGCGACTCCATTCACTTACAAGAATAACATTTAAAACCAATTTGAATTTTATATTTAAGCAAATACCACGAATTGTCTTGGGTATTGGAGTTATTGAACAGAAACTTAAAGCCCGATTAGCTATTCGAAAGTTTTAAGCGCAAATTTCTATGAATCGCTGAACTTTTACTTTTGCAAAGATTTTAGAGCATTTACTTGGCTTTGACTTTGGCATTGGCTAAAGTAAAAGCAGTTCTTAACTTTAATTTGAGTTTAAGGAATACCGAATGGATTGCTGTAACTCTATCTAGCTCACCGACTAAACAAACATTTAATCTAATACTTTACACATACTAAATAGTCATTAATGGCAAAAGAATGCTCATTTAATTAATTTACTTTTATTCATTAAATATATTATCCACATTATCCACATTTCCTTCAATGAGAATTAGCTCTAATCCATCAGCAAGGGAATAAAATGCGAGATAAACAAATGCATTCGCTTTACGTATTGCTAGTAAACTAGTTCCTCTGACCCTTTACTGACGGCATGGACTGATAAATTGAGCCATCACTTATAATTTTGGCCCATTAGCACCGCAAAGCAATGAGGTTTATTGCAATTTTTTTTTACCTATTTTTTTTTTATATTTTATATTTTTGTTTGACTGACAGAGCATTGGCTATAAAAGCCGGGGCTTATGCCACTGAACTCTAGCTTTAGTTACAGCTTTAGCTAATTGGGTTAAAAGCACACTCACACAAACACAAACACACATGTGTGTGTGTATAAATGTATAACAAGTATAAATGAGTGTTGTGCTTGGCTGCAGCAACAGACGAGAAACGCATTTGGTCTGATCCGGACTGTTGGTTCAATGGGGCTTTGCTGGAGGTGGGGAGGTAGCCAGCCAACCGGAGCAAAGAAAGGGCTAAAATTTCACTTGATATTGCCCCTTTTTTTTGGAGGGGGACCTGGGTTGCCGACTCATAAATGTGCCGTTAATAATTTGTCTCAATTTCTAGAGCAGAACATGAATTGAGTTGACCCGAAATTTCTCCCTTCTGAATGGAAAGCTGAAAATTGCCCAAAAAGAATCATATGGAAAATAGTGATAGTAAAACAACTATTTTAAATTGTTTTTAATATTTGTTTGGAAATTTTAGTGTTATTTTTTTGTTTTTTTTTGCAGTTGTGTTAAAAGTTTGATTACAGAATCGCGTTTACAATGGCTAAAAACATTTGAAAATTGCGTGAGTGTGCGGCGAGTATAATTGAGAGGCTGTGCCAGTATGTGTGAATGCATGTGTGTGTGTGTGTGTGTGTGTGGTTGAGTGTCTCTGTGTGTGTTCAAGTGTGCGTGAGCTGTGTGTGGCGGTCACTTGAATAGGGCTGAACTTAACTGAAGGGCAGTCAATGTTGATCTACAGGTGCCTACTAAAATGGATGCACATACTCGCACACACACACACACACACACACACACACACACACTGGCACACCCACAGAGGCTGCGGCCTTGTAGTTGTTGTTGTTTGTTTCGGGGCTTTGTTTGGGGTCTTGTTTGGGCCAGCAGTTCGCTCATGTGTTAAGCGCAGCACTTGGCTTGTAAATTGTCAAGCATCGGTTTCGAGTGCCACGCCTGCTGCTGGCTCTGGCTCTGGCTCTGCGGCTCTTGGCCTGGCCATAACATAAAAAATTCTGTGGCATGTTGCATATTGCATGCGGAGAGCATCATAATTACGCACAGTTGCATACAGTTTCACACAAAAAGCTACGCACAGCCGTTGAGTGTGCTGCCAAAGCACTCGAAATAAATAAAAAAATAAAAGTTCTTGCTGTTGTTGTTGTTGTTTAAAACAAATTACACAGCGCACTAGAGTGTGGCAGAGGAGCAGAGCGCAAAGAGAGTCGGCGTAAGAGTGAGAGTGAGTGAAGGCAGCAGGAAGAAGCAGAAGAAGAGACTAGTAAACACTTGACGCATAAAAAGCTACAAAATATAGAAGAAGCAAAAAAACGTTTGAGTGTAGTTTATATATTTTTTAAGTTTTTTTCTCAGATTTTTTTTTTACCAACTGTAAATTGGGTCAACTATCAAAGTCAGAGCAGCAAGGGTTAAGTGCTAGCCCACACACACACACACACACACACATGCACACTTCTGTTGAGAAAAGAATGAGTGGACAATGCTACAATTCCTGTTGGCCAATCTCGCTTATGGGTCAAGCGTGTGTTGCTGCTGCTGCTGCTGCTGCTGTCCGTTTGTCTGTTTTGTTTGTGCAGCGGCAGCAAACTAAATAAAATAAATTGTAGTATAAACAAGACAACAACAAGGCAACAACAACCAAATACTAAGAACTTGACATGCATTCAGCTTTAACTGTTTCTTGCTGCTGCTGCTGCTCTTGCTGTGGCTTGCCATTGCGTGCAGCAGCAACAATTTTATTGCAGGCAGCCTAACGGCAACTGTTGCTGTTGCCGCACAGTTTGCCAACAGCAGCGTGACCGAGCATTGCGAGTTCTTGCTCCAGCCGGTTCAGCATGGCTCCACACACACACACACACACACACGCACACATACACTGAGAGATATGCTCGCAACCGCCTGCTGCCTTGTAACGGTCGCATACATAAATCAAGGCGGCCATTTTAGCAATTAGCAAAAAATTACCAACAACGTAAGTGCTTGTACTAGTATATATATACATACATACATATATGTATGCGTGTGTCTGTTGCTGCTGCTGCTGCTGGCCAAAATAGTTTGCGCCAATTTAGATAAAGTTTCAAGCTAGTGGGCGTTGGGCGTCTGTTAGCAACAGCAACAGCAACAGCAATGGCAACACAAAATCACGAAAAGAGAACAGCAACATCTTCAAGTGTCGCCATTTTGAGTGTGAGAGCGCGTGAGAGAGTGTGCGTGTGTGTGTGTGTAAGAGCGCGGACAGTCAGCTCAGATAACGGTCAATTTGCATTTTAATTGAGCGCTTGTTTGACGCGCACACATCTAAAGCCTATCGCAGTTTTTGCTCTTCCACTCTCTCTCTCTCTCGCTCTAGCACATCTCTTCTTCTTCATTTTTTTTTTTTTTTTGGCTGTGCAGCTTTTATTTGCATTTTAACTGCCAACAGGCTAAACGGGTGGGCGTGTTGCACCTAATTGAACTCTTATGACATCAACAGATCAAAAGCTTAGAGCAAAAACCTGCAAGAGTGTGTGTGAGAGTGTAAGTGTGTGTGAGAGGCGGCTTAACTTCTTGTTGCCAAACGACTAAAAATAAAAAGAATTCGAAAACAAAAACAGTTCTAGCTGTTTCGCGTGACTGTTGTTGATTTGGTTCTTTTTTTGTTTTTACGCAAATTGATTCAGTAACCGGTTAGACTCTGAATACATGTACATATGTATGTATGTACATACATATATCATATGCATATGGTTATTGAGCAGATCTGGCAACTTCTTGTTTTTGCAGGGGTTGTTTTTTTTTTTATGTTTCGCATGGTGTACATAGCGTGGAGCGAACATGGTACAATCTCTGGCACATCACTCTTCCAGCTTGTTCTTCATTTCGCCTGTTAACTCATCTCATTCTTCTTCTTCTTCTTCATCTCTTCGCCAGCTGCAATTGGCATATTTCCGAAATGGAACGTCAAATTAATGCTGAAAAAGTTCAACGGAACACAGGGTTAAAAGCTGCGCTTGTTCGCAGTTACGGCTACATCAGCAACAACAACTGTTGCAGTTGCCCGCGGCTACACGATGGAAGGAAAGAAGCGAGGGAGAGGAGGAAGAGGCGAGAGGTTAACGGTAACTGGCAACTGCTGAACTTCATGGCATCGCTGCCTTTGTGCTTCTTCTTAACTGTATTTCAATGACAATGAGGTCGGTCGCTCACCCATTCCCATTCTCCACTTTCAACTCTCCCAATCTGCCATTCTCTCCCGCCCCTCTGTTTCAATCTGTTGCTGATTGTAATTAAAATATTACTCCATTCATTTACTTTCATATGTCTTTCAGGCAAGTTTTATTTTTCGATTTAATTTTATTTTCTTTGAACCTGCGGCTTCCGCGTGTAGTTAAATAATTATTTTTAATGCTATAACGCCTAGGCCGGAGTGTGAATCACGTCGAAAAATTGGAGTGAGACGAGCAAAAAGCGAAAACAAAAGTCTATGTTCATAGTTCTGTAAGGTCTTCACAATAACTGAAACAACAATAAGAACGACGATAACGCGCTTAACCAAACAAATAAAATATACAAAAACAAGATGAAAAATATAAATAAATAAGTAATAAAACCCATGTGAATAAGAGAGAGAAAGACAAAGACCGGTTTACAGTTCACGTTCACGAATTGTCGCCGCAAAAAAATAAACAGTAAATAATACAAAAAATAAGCTCACACACAGAAAATATACATATACAAATGACAGTGGTTTTCAGTGAATTTTTTTGTTTAAACACAGAAACCCTAGATGAGACGCTTAGAAATACAAACATAAATCTACAAATAAGTATTAAGTAATTAATGCCTTAATGGGGCTTTCTTGCGAAATTTGAATGACAAATCGTTGTTTTCTGAGAGCTTCTTCTTCACATTGAATTGAAATGAAAGTCTAGCTAGTCTGGTGGCAGCACACCATAAAGGAACTATGAAATGTGGCTATAGCTAAAAAAAAAAAAAATAATAAATAAACAAACAAACATACCAAAGGAAACAGCTGCACTCTGCACATAGGCAGCACTGGCCGCCAGCAGCGTGAGCAGCGCCCAAGCGCTATAAATTTGCATTATAGCATTGCAGCCGGTTGCTCCAGCTGCGCCGGCGCCGACGCAGCGTCGACTTTGACGCTGGCGTGCGCAGCTGACGCAAATATTCGCCGTGGACCCAGACGGAGACGCAGTCGCTGCAGCCGCCATCTTTATCTGCGACATGCCTTAAATTCAGCTACACTTTTTGTTTGTATTTGTTATTATTGTATTTATTGCTATTTTTTGTATTTGTTTTTGCTTTAAAACGGCTTTTTAGTGCCGTGCCAATTGTGGTTGGATGGCTTCACTTTTCCTTGGATTTCGCTCTTTTCGTTTCTTCGGCGCATTACAGAAAAAAACACTCACAATTTGACTCTTTACTTAGCAAAGGCCAATTGCATAATAAATCATAATAAGTTCGATTGGACATACAATTCTACACATGCATATAAATAAGCGCGAGTCGCGAGTGTCACCAAAAATGAGCGACAATTACTTTTTGTAAATTTATGCTCCGAGTTAAATGCACTCGCGCGCCCTTTTTACCGTTGGTTAGAGAAATACGAAGACGAAAACGAAAACGAAGACGGAGACGGAGACTGGGCCATGCACTGCGCCACCCTCGACTCTCGACTGCGCTGTGTGTGAAGCGCGCTGACTTTACTAGACTTGTTGCGACGAATGATCGAACCGAACTGAGCGCAGCTTTGAGCGATGCCAGCCGACGATGCTTTACAATTGAGTCGCCGTTCGACAATGCTGGCAATTTAGCTTGGCCGCCGCTAAAAACTAGCTTGCTCGCGACAGTACAAGTAGCCAATATCTGTTATGTCTAAATTTTAGCTACTTTAATTACTGTTTGCATTTAAGTGTTTACAAATCTGAGAGTTAATCTTTTACTCATAAATATTTACAACTTTAAACTACTGTATTAATCCATATTTAAGTTACTTTTTAGCTTTAAAAATGTTTCAAGGCTAGCAGCACTGTTCATGGCTTAGCTATCCCATTGTTGTTTAATCTTGCTCTTAACTCAAATATTGCCTCTCTTAAATTTATTGCAGCTGCTCGTAAACAACTCACATGTTACACGAAAACAAAAACAATGCCAAGAGACGCCCGAATGTAATGTTACAAATCAACTAACAAAGCAGACACGCTTAAAGAAGCAAACAAACAAAAAGTGGAGAAATCGAAATCTTTTGCACACAAAAATAAAGTCCAAGCTAAAGCAGCTCCTCTTCTTCTATCTCTACCTGATTCACCCACACCAGCGGGCGCTGCTGCGGCTGTTGCTGCGGCCTCCGCTGCTGTTGCTGCTGTTGGTGCTGCTTTTGGCAATCACTGCAACAGTTCTGACTCATGGAGCTTACGGCGTCAAACGGATTTTTGCATTTTTTTTGTGTGTGTGTATGTGCTTTGTTCCTTATTTTTGTTTTCGTTTTTTCATCATTTTTTTCTTTGCTGGTTTGGGGCTTTGGTCTTGGGCTCTGTAACCCAATTTTAAAACGAGTTGCAGTAAAAGCTCAGCGAAAAACACGCATGCATGGGAAGCAGAATACGAAAATTACAGCGAAAGGCGTTGTAAGAAATCGAAAACAATTCAAACAACATATGTCAGTGTATGCGTGTGAGAGTGTGCATATGTATGCGTATGTGGGTGTGCGTCTGTGTACTCGCCGTGAGGAATGAACAGCAAAGCGAATGCAATTGAGTCAGATTTTTCTTCAAGAGATCTTTAACCGTTATTAAATTGTATGCATTCAGTTCTGAGCTTTATATTTGAGTAGTTAACCAATAAAGCGTTGACTCAATCGATTCCTATACAAATTTATTGCTATTTTTAGTGCTCGCAAAACGCGTTGCCATAAAGAGCAAAGGAAATGCCCATTGAATGCGTAAACTTAGCTTAAAATAGACTTTTAAACAAAATCAATAGAAATCGACAAAAATTAGCTTAAGTAAATGTGATAATTTGTATGAAGCTTTGAGTTACTAATTAAGTCTTATAAATAACCAAAAACCAGTGAAGTGCTATTTGAAGTTGAAAAACTAGTTTTCACTGGAGATTATCAGAAATTTGTTCGATGGAACTTAATTGAGAGAAGATATGTATATCTAGATATATGCCAAAGATATTTATGCCATTCATTGTGATATTCATATAATTATAATATTTTTTATTAATATAATATCATGAATATGATATTCAAAAATGTATAGAGATAAATATAAGTTTATATTCAATTCGGTTTTATTTATGGTCAAACGATTTAGAGATATAAAGAGTATATTTAGCTAGGTATTTTAAGAATTTTTATTTCATTTGAAGTCCTTGACTTTGGTATACGATCCTTCCTTAGGTCTTTGTTCCAAGTGTGAATCGAATTCTTTAGACTATTCAATAAATTCATAAAAAACACTATAATATTTATAGATTTTTTCTGTCTTCAAAGTCTTCTTAGCTCATATATGGCAAATGTTATTTATGAGTTTATTAAAGACTTGCAATGTTTTGGTAAAAAAAACTGTACGAAATAAAAGTAAAATATATACACATAATTGAAATGTTAAAATAAATGAACTCAAGGCTTCAGCCAAAAAACTGGGTTTCAGCTTGACGAAAACCAGGTTCTACAGCTAAAAATGTAAGCCTTAAGCCTTGAATTGTAAAACAAAGCCGAGATTAATTTATTGTATTCAGAATGTGTATATGTATGTATATATGTATGTGTATGCGCATTAATATAAAGTAAGGTAAATAAACATGTTTTCAAATAATAAATTTACTTTTTCGTTGACTATTTGGTTATAATAACTTTAATAATTAATAAATTTTCTTTACAATATTTTTTTTTTTTAATTAAGCTCTTTAACTTGCATATTTTTTGTAAAATATATTTTTTCTGTGATTCATCAGACTCAAGATGATTGAAAGATATATGAAACGCTGATTGCATAAGGGAGAAGACCTCAACAGCTCAAATTACGCTGTTTGCACTGCGCACACACACAGTATATATATAAGTATGTACAAATGTACATAAGTATGTATATGGCTTTTATATATGAGTGCATCCATGTGTGTGCGAGAGTGTGTGTGTGCGTTTATGTTGTTGTCAACTCGATCCGGCAGCGACAACAACAAGCAATAGCCGGTTATGTTCGCTTTTGCTCGATGCTATAAACAAACAACGACAGCAACAAAACAGGCCTCATTTATGCGCTGCATTTTTTTGCAGTTGTTGTTTGCTAGCCACGTTTTTGGCTATTGCATTTAATTGGTGTTGTTGTTGTTGTCTGGCCAAACAACTGTTGTTGCCGTGCAGCTAAAAATAAACGGCATAATTATAGACGTTGCCAGCGACTTGTTGCACTCACTTACGCAGTCCAACTTACACACACGCACACACACAATCACAAGCTCACATACTTACACGGTGCACACTCTCCCGCTTCTCCAGCATCGAACCGGCCAAGCAACTGCACAAAGAGAGCTCGAAATATACAAAGAGCGTAAGCGTTGTGAGCGCGTCTTCAAAGAGCGCGCGCTCACGCTGCTCAAGGCATGGCTTAATGCGTGCTCTTCGCTGGCCTTTGGTCACGTCGTCCATAGCCAAAGGCAATCGGGGCAGCGCTGATAGGTCACGTATGCGCATTCGATTAGTGAGCGTTGCCATCTGGTCCTGTTATCACAGTGTGTGTGTGTGCGGTTAATCTGTGCTGCTGGCCAACCTTGGCCTAAATGTGTCTTGACCAGCATTTTGTATGACTCTTAGATTGAAGCTTAAGAAGTTGCTCGAATGCTGTGGCAAAGCTTAAAATAAACTAACAGCTTGCGCTTAGCTAAGACAACAACCAATTACCGGACTATGTTAAAATATATATTGAAACTAACTTTAGCTAAGATAATAACCATTTTCAAAAAGTTCAACTCAAACGTAACTAAGGCAATATTCATATGTGGAACTCTGTTAAATTTTGTTTCAATCAAACTTAGCCAAGACAATAGCCCCTGGTGGGGCCGCATCAAGTGTCATTTTAATTTTAACTCAAATTTAGTCAAGGCAACAACCGATTATTGAGCTGTTTGAAGTTGCCTGCTGAATTACATTTTGTTTAGATCAACTGTAGCTAAGACATAAACCTATTACAGAGTTGATCTAAATTGTTGTTCAATAATAATACTAAAATTAGCTAAGACAACAACCAAGCACAGACTGTTAAGTTGATGTCGTCTTTTAATGTAATTTACTTTAAATAATTTTAATTTATTAATTAATTAATTTAATTAGTTTCCACACAATTGACTTTAATTAAATTTGTTTTTATTAATCACGTAAATTAACTTAAATTACGATAATCATCAAGAATATATTTACAACATTGAAATACTACGAAAAATAAAGGAATATACGCACTGCGAACGTTCAAACCCTTTGCATAAAATGTGTTTAAATTTTGCATTTTCTCTGTGTGTGTGAGTGTGTGTGTGTGTGTGTGTGCGGGTGTCATAATATAATGATGTAAAGATTTTTTGTATCTAGTACAAGAATAGCTCGAGTATCTAAATGGCATAATGTCTCTCTGTGTGTGTGCGCATGTGTGTGTGTGTATGAGTGTGCGTATGTGTGTGTGCGTCTATCTGCGACGCAACTGCATCATGGTCTCAATGGAACTCTGATCTAGCGTGGCAGCATGCTCCAGATCCTCACTGCTGGCATTCTCCTCGGCCACATTGACGAAGGTGCTGGATAGCTCCCCATTCAGTTTATTCACGCCGCCCGTGGCAATGTCGTACATAAAGATCTCCTGATCGGCACTCTCGCTGGCTCTGCAAGGGAGAGAGAGAGAGAGAGTACGAGAGAGAGAGAGAGTTAAGTTATACTGAATTATTCATAGTTTCATCTTCATCTACTCACTTGGCCACCAGCAGCACCACCGACTGCAGTTCAATGTCTGTGCGCGCCTCCTTCTCCAGCCAGCGCTTGAAGTTGTCCTTGGTGGGCTTCTTGAGCAGCGTCTTGACCAGCTCGCCGCCCAGAAACTTGATCTCCTTGCTGTCTACAGTGCCGGCGCTGCTGCTGCTGCTGCCGCTGCCGCTGCTGCTGCTTCTGGCCTCGCTGGTCTGTGGTTGCGCCTCCACTGGCGCCAGCACCACCACGCTAACGATCTTCTTGCCCAGCAGCTCCTCGCTGTCGGGTATGGGAAACTGTGCTCCATTGATCTTCAGCGGCAGATAGCGATTGTACTGCTGTCGCTCGGCCAGCTCCACGGGCGTCACGACGGTCGCATCCTGCCGCACATACTTGTCGCTCACGCTCTGTCCCTGGGCCGCATCGTAGCGCACCACCTTCACGTCCAGATTCTGTTTCTGGGGCAGCGAGTTCGTCTGCTTCACACGGTCGATTTGCTTCTCGCTCAGCGCCACTTTGTCGCCGTTGGGCTTGACCACGGTGAGGACTTTATTGGTCTCGGCTATCTGAGCACCGCCTCCTGCTCCGTAGAAGTGCTGCAGATGCTCCGCCGGCAGATTCTCCAGGGCAATGTCACCCTGCTTGTCGTAGTCCAGGACGGAGATGTCGGCGTTGTTCAGAATGCCGGAGGAGAGGAGTTGCTGGCGCAGATCGTCGGGCACCTCGTCGGGCAGCTGCAGCAGCGTCTGCGATGCCTTGCCATTGGGCGTGGCTGAGGGCGAGGGCGAGGTGGGTGCAGCAACAGTTGCAGCTGCAGCGGATCCTGCTGGCGTGACATAGGACGATTGCTGTTGCTTCGGCTGCTGTTGTTGCTGCTGCGCCTGTTGTTGGTGCTGCTGCTGCTGCTGCTGTTTCTCCTGTTGCTGTCGCTGCTGCAGCTCTTTGAACACATCCGAGTGGTAGGTGGAGACGCTGAAGGGTGAGTTGTCCACAGCTGCGCTGCTCGACTGCCTGGGCTGCTGCACATAGTTGTTGCTGTTGCTGCTGCTGGACTGCGTCTGCGGATGCACCTGAATCACCTGCTCATTGTGCGAGGGATACTGATTGTAGCTGGCGTAGCTGGATGAGGGCGGCAGGGGCGTGACCACCATTACCTTCTGGCCATGCGTAGACTCGGCATAGATGGGGGTCGCTTCGCTGGCAAAGTTCAATTGCTGCTGCTGTTGCTGCTGCTGTTGCTGTTGTTGCTGCTGCTGCTGCTGTTGCTGTTGCTGCTGCTGTTGCTGCTGTGTGGAGCTGGCGGTAATGTAGTGACCCGTCAGCGGCTGAGCTTGAGGCTGTGGCGCATTGGGTGCCAGATTGGGAGCGGGAATATCATGAATCACTTCATTACGATTGCTGCTGTAAGCGAATGACTGATGGGAAATCAGTTGCTGTTGTTGCTGCTGCTGCTGCTGGCTGACAATGGGATTCTGCACCGTCTCTGTAATGTGCTGCTCAAACTTGGGTATGGACTTTAACAGCTCCGTCTCCTTGGAGGGCTTTATGTCAAAATAGTTGAGCGCTGAGTACTTATGCTGCTGCTGCTGTTGCTGCTGGGGCTGGTGTTGCTGCTGTGCATAGTAGTCGGTTGCTGGGGTGGGGGAGCGCACTATAAACTGCGGCTGCTGCACAAATTGCGGCTGTCTAACGAATTGATAAGGTTGCGGCTTGGGCGTTTGATATTGTTGCTGCTGTTGCTGACGTTGCTGCTGCTGCTGCTGCTGTTGTGGCAGCTGCAATGGCTTCACTTGCGGCGCTGGCGCTGGTGTGGGTCGGAACTTGATGGGCTGATATGGCGTTTGGCTGGCACGCGTTGGCAACTCTTGACTTTTTGGGGGTATTGTGGGAAAGAATGGCACCTGAACCTGTTTGTGTGGCGGCTTCTGATATTGCTGCTGCTGCTGTTGCTGCTGCTGCGGCTGTGGCTGCGCTGTTTGATATTGCTGATTGTGATTGACGTAGAACTGAGATTGCTGCACCAGCTTGTTGAAGATGGTCTGAGAGGATGTGGCCGGCAATTGCTGCTGCGTTATGCTGGGCCGCTGCTGTTGCTGCTGTTGCTGCTGCTTCTGATAGTAATGTTGCTGCTGTGATGGCTGCTGCTGCTGCTGCTGCTGCTGCAGCTGCTTGGTGGGCAGCGCTGCTGGGGCTCGAAAATAGTTGCTGTTGTGCTGCGACGGCAGCTGCTGCTGCTGCTGGCTGCCAAAATGCAAATGTTGCTGCTGCTGCGGCTGATGTTGCTGATAGCTGTTGCTGCCGAAGAGCAGATTGGAAACGGGACCGCGTGCAAAGCTGCTTTCGCGTCCGTAGTCCGCGCGCGTGTTGGTCAGCGGCAGCGCCACCACCTGGCGCTGAATGCTCTCCGCGTCATGCTCCTCCAGGATGTGGCCCGTCTGGTGCTTGTTCTCGGCGCCGAAGGAGACGTGAATGCCGCTGTTGCTGTGGTACTTCTCCGAGTCGGGGTGGATGATGGTGCGCAGCGTGGTCGACTTGAGGGGCGGCAGGGGCGTCACCGGGTACTGAATGATCTCCTCTTCCTCCTCCTCCTCGTCGGCATCGTCGTCGTTGTTCAGCGAGGCGATGGGCGACTCCAGGTGCAGCTTGTTGTTCTGATCCTTCTTGTAGTTCACATAGAAGACGTGCACCTTCTCCTTCTTCTTCTTCTTCTTGGTGATAATCGGCTGCGGCGGCTCCGCGGCCAGCGTCTCATTGGCGTCCTTGATGATGATCTCGATGATGGGCTCCGGCGCCTCCAGATACTGCGGATACGGCGCATAGGCGCTGCTGTAGCTGCCCGGATATTGAGCTGCCAAGCGAGAGGAAGAACCTAATGAAACTGAAGTCATGTCAGGTAGTTCCTTTCCCCACTGCTTACCCAGCGCTTGCTGTCCATTGTAGTAGCCCGGATAATAGTTATCCACGTAGCCCGCCCGGCGGCTGGCCACCTCCGGATACAGGTAGCCCGCGTTGCCGAAGTCGTAGAGCGTGCGCTTGCCCCGATTCTCGCCGGGCTGCGACTTCAGGGATTTCGACTGGCGCGTCGTGCTGTTGGAGCTGGTGGAGCTGGGCTTCTTGGTGGCAACGGTAGTTGGCTCGGCTTTCGTCTTGGCTTCACTCTTGGACTTTGAAGTGGTTGCTGCTGCGGCTGCTCCCGCAGCAAGCAGCGCCAACTGCAAAAGAAGAAGAAGAAGAAAAAAATTAGTTTAACGATTCCTAATTTGTTTATTAAATTTTTAACTTTTTTATTTTGCCAACATATTTAATTAAGTTTTTGTTGTGGCCTGCACAAGGTCGAGACCCCCAAAAAACGATGCGAGCTGAAATAATTTAAAGATATGCGTGAAAAAAAAGTTAAATAAACACTTTTACCGCAAAAAACTACAAAATGTTGAACAAATTTTTGTTTTTATTTTTCATTTTTTTTTTGTGAATGCCCAAAACGAGGCAAAATAAAAAACAAACATCAACAGCAAATATCAAGATTCGCCCTCTATTCCTCACCCTGTCTCTCTCTCACTCTTCCTCTCGGCTGTGTCAAAAATTAGCCGAACAAATTGTGAACGAGGAACGTGGCTTGAATCCGTCTTTGGCTTTGGGTCAATGTCAAGTGGACTGCTCATTCGACCACAAAAGCCAATCCACAGAGAGAGAGAGAGAGAGAGAGATGGAGAGAGACAGATATGAGGCGCTGCTGGACTAAGGGCAAATCCCATCAATCTTTGGCAGTTGAAGCTAAGCCCTCATCGAATCCATCTGTGTCACAGTCCGGCCTGAGTAATCGGCCTATTTGCCACACGTAGCCGTGAAAGTTGCGCTCAGGCGACGACTTGAATTTCAATTTCAACAGTCGCAATTTGCATTTCGACAGTAAACGAGCAGCAATGCAGGTGACTCAATAAACAAACACACACACACACACAGGTGAACACGCACGAAAGCCCACTTAGCAATTAAATGAAATCTGCATAATATTTACAATATATGCGCTTTGTGGGACAAAATACGAGGACTTGGAGAAGTAAACAAAATCGGAGAGGTCAATTATGCACCAGAAGCTGAAAGACGATAATAATGTATTCGTATAGCACTACAATTAATGATGATTAACCTCTGCATCATTATCAAGCTTAGGTTTATTATATTTATAATAATAAAAGTCGATTTTTGTATTAGTAGAATAATCATCAAAAATTTCTTTAACATATTCTAGAGGAAATTATCATTGAACTAGGGGTTTCAAGGGACCACAAATGTTTAGAAAATAGAAAAATACTTGCATTAATATAAAAGTATGTTCAGATGTGCCACGTATCTATCGTTTATAATAAAAGATATGTGGGCATCTATCAATAGTATTAAACGGTTTTTAATTAAAAAATAAAATCAACAATATTTACAAGAGCTTTAAGTATAAAACGGCTTGATAATTTACAAGATATATATATAATATAATAATAATATAATATAATAAGCATATATAATATCGGTCGATCGTATCACGGTCGGCGTATCACAAAAAATACTCTCATTAGTTCATGAATGAGTCGAGCGAATAAAGCTCTGTGGTTCCATATATTTGAAGTAATTATTTATAATCTATCCACGCATATGTAGAGCTATATATACATATATATACATATATATACATATATTTGCATATATTCACGATATTATTAACATAAACCCCACAATGATGCAGCAACAAATTCTTTGAGCAGGATAAGTCAGCAAATGCTATAATTATACATATATATATCAAAGAATATATTTTATATAATAGTCAATATATGAATATTTAAAATGAGAGGGAAATTCGTATTTGTTTAGTCGTTGCTCAGGCGCCCTCTCGAGATGGGCCTAAGTGGAGTGAAGTCTGTGCTCCTAGTGGTCTACTGGCTGATCGTGGGTCCAACGATATTCATTATATGCACGCATTTTGTGAGCTGGGACAGACATGAATTTTGGAATAATCTGGGAATTACTCTGGTCATTGCCACGATCTTGACACTCAGCTGCTGGATAATTCTGCTCGTGCTCAGTGTCGCCTATATCAAAGTGAAGGCGTGCTGCATCAACAGGCGGGAATTGTGCAGCGAACCTGCTAGCAGAGTTCAACCTAGGATCGAGCTGCTCGAGGTACTTTCAAGTGGTCGACGACCAATACGAAGTGCGCCCGGTATACCCCTGAAAGTGGTACCGCAACAGGTTATGCTGCCACGGCTACCAACCTATGAGGAGAGCCTTTGAAGCTGAGTATATTCGATTAGAAATATGTGAATTTTTACAATATAAAGTGATATGTATACATTGTTTATTATTAATTTTTTATCTGCACTCAGTTCAGTTCTGACATGTGGCTTACAGAGCATGTCAGTTACCTTTGACAGGCCATTTATCTAGTTTACGAGGGTTTAGGGTGCCAGAGGTCTTAGAGCTTCTTTTACAGTTTCGTATCTTCTTCTGAGAAAGTTGATATACATACATATATATAAATTTTGGGGATTTGGAAAATTGCAAAAGAAAGATAACTCGAATTTTTATAGAGATAAAGATCTGATTACACAGATATAGAGAGTTTATGAAGGGGAAGTAGAAGAGAGATAAAAGTAAATAGAGTGAGAACGGCAATAGTGAAATGACATAGAGGAGAGGAAGGATGAGAGAAAGAGCGAGAGAGAGCAAGGAAAAGTGAGTGAATGAGTGAGAGAGCAAAAGACAGAAAGAGAGAGATATAGTGAGTGAGAGAGGGAGAGAGTGAGTGAGTAAGAGATGAGGAAAAAGAGATGGAGAGGGACAACGAGAGAAATAGTGGCACAGGGATGTGAATAACAATGAGAATGACGAGAGGGAGGCAAGGAAACAGGGATAATTAAAACAGAGCGAGAGAGAGGGAAAGAGAGAGAGAGAGAGACAGATCGAGTAAACGAGAAATCACATTCAGTTCGAAGAGAGGCAGTGCCAGTGTTGAAAACAATAGAAAGAGTTCGACAACACGATCGAGTGGTAAGTACTTGAATGAAAGCAATGCGTGAGCTGCTCCATAACACCTACAACTCGCACTCGTCCACTCGGCTCGCATACATAATAATAGCACACAATAGATCATAACACGAGCGAGCCAGGCATTGTCTCTCGGCCCGGCTGCAGCAACGCCCACGCCCCAGGCCGGGCCAGGGCAGACCAGGCCAGATCAGGCCGGGTCTGTCAGTTAGTTGGGCAGGCTGCCAAATGCAGCTGAAAACTGGAAGTGAAATTATTTTATAGATAGCCGCCGATGTGCCACCGCTCACCGCACACCCCTCGCCCTCGCCATCGCCTTCGTCTATCCGTTGTCGTCTGCCATTTGACATTTGGCATTGCCAACAAATAAAATTTTGCTTTACTTTCCCAAAAAATAACAGCAGCAATAGCAGCAGCAGCAGCAGCAGCAGCAGCAGCAGCAGCAGAAGAAGAAAATAATAATTTCTAGCAAAGTTTTTTTGTTTTTCTGTTTTTATTGACTGCAAATGTCGGAGCATTGTGGGCGCTGACATTTGATTTATTATAATTGAGTAATAATCGCGGACTCAAAGTGAAACTCACAGAGACAAAAGCTGGGCATGTGGACCAAGTGGCGTATGTGCAATGCGAGCTACAGAGATCAAGCTGAATATATGTATGTATATGTATATCTCTGTTGAGATAATGATTATGGCATCGTTGTCACAACTTTGAAGCTGTCAAAACAGTTCGTCAGTTGTCTAAAACGGAAGCTGTGCGAAGACTTTTGACAGCACTTGCGGCAAATGCTATTGTTTTTTCTTTTCTTGTTATTGTTGTTGATTACTGTTGCTGCCGTTGTTGTTGTTGCTGTTGTTATTGTCGACTTAGTAACGGCACGGCAGCAATTGCTGACACAGATTTTGGCAGACGACGCGGCGTCGCTTCACATTGCTTTTAATTGCACTCATAAAGATCAGAGACAACATTAACAGGCTATATATCACATGGCATATACACATGTATATCTATATAATCTATTATTAATAAAGACTCTCTGCTCTTACAGCATCCTATGCTAATTAAGCCACTGGGGTCGAGCTCTGAATGGCCATAAGCAAACCAAAAAGAAAGAGAGAGAGAGAGAGAGAGAAAAAGTATGGGAACAAAAAAAGATAAATATTTGGAAGGAAATTTATATTTGCCAATTGATCGAATGAGCGGGATTTGCATAATGAACTGACCTATGCCTGGTGCCAATAACGATGCTTAGCTCGGTAGCCAAACTAAATAGATTTATGAACAGACAGACAGACAGACAGAGAAACAGATTATAAGAGCAGGCTGAGGCGGAGGCTGGGGCTGAGGCTTGAGCTGAGACAATGAGCCAACTGTCAAGACGCATAAATAAAGCAAAAACTGGCAAGAGTTGAGGTTTTGTTTTTGGCCAAAGCCAAAGAAACTGGCGCATAACCAAAAAGAAAGATGCTAACAATGGGTGAAAGTTAACACCAGACAGCAACAACAACAACAGCAGCAACAACAACAACAACAGCAGCAACACACACTTACATATGGCTAGCACACACGCACAGCGCTAACAAAATTGTTTACAAGCTAATAAATTTGCTTGCCAACAACAACAACAACAACGACGAAGATTCGCAGCAAATCATTATGTAATTTCTAGTCAGAAACAACTAACTAGTTAGTCAGTGAGCGGGCGGGAGCAACAACAGCAACAGCTAACGAATCGATTGTGTAATGCAAGTCGAAGTTAAATTGTGGCCAAAAACATAGAAAGAGTTAACAGTTAAAGCCCGGCCAAATTATACAGCGGTAGCTGCTTCACAGCCTCACAGCTAGTGGCATGTGGCAGCTGGCAAATTGTTGCTATGCAGTGAAATCTAGCCAGCAACTGTTGTTGCTGCCGCTGCTGCTGCCGCTGCAATTGCAGCTTGGCAATTGCCAATTGGCCAAGTGCAAACTGCATTAGTTAGCATATCAACAGCGTAAACTGATGACAAATGCCCGACATCTTGTTTCTCATGTCGCCTTTTGGCGAACAACAATTAGCAGCAACAACAGCAACAGCAACGCTAGCAACTGTTGCCGCTGTCACAGTTATGCCTATTAGCTGTGCAACGCCCCGGCGCGATTGCTGCTGCGTCATACAGCTGCATGTTTATAA